TATATATATATATATATATATATATATATATATATATATATATATATATATATATATATATATATATATATATATATATATATATATATATATATATATATATGTTGTGTCTATCTGTATGTAAGTTTATATATATGTACATACATATATACATACAAAATTAAAATAAACAGTACAACTGCCATGCTTCACATCGCAGCCACAGCCTGAATTGCGTGCACATATTACATAGCATTTATTAAAATCATAATGCCGCAACTACTTAATACCCTACCTTATTTTCTCTTAAATACGAGTAAAGTATATACAAGGACACTTAATACAAGGACACTACATACAACATGTATAACGGTCAGTTCTTGCTGGTAATTGGTCAATCTTTCTGTTCTGTCTGGTCACCCTGCCGCTAATGTTACCTCTAAGTTCAGGCAACCAGTGCCTGTACAGATTGCAGTTGTGTACCTTCTTGGCGAACCTAGCACAGAGTGACTATTTGGTCTTCAAGTGTTTGTCCACAATATATTACATTAATCATATTACAAAGATTTCGTTGTATTATACATTGTGATACATGTATATGAGGGCCACTGTCCTCTCTATTAACCTCACAGCTGTAGCACTAGGCAGTAAATGCTAATATCATGCATCACACAAATACACATCTTGAAACATATTCTATACAACACTGCGTATACAAATAAAATAGACAGTAATAGACTGTACAATCTAACAACATTGTCCTTGCAGCTACTCTCCACGCAGAGGTTCTGGGGTAATGATCGTTAGCTTTTTATATAAGGACGGGTTTTTTTTTTGCTACCCCTACCACTGTCGGTGCCTTGCAACCTCTGGCCTCTGGCCAACCTCTGGCCAATGGATACTGTCTTGCCACTGAAAGGGATCTGCTTGGAGATTACTTGCAGCTAGCAGAATTGCGAGGAGTTTAGAATTAGTGGTGTTAAGTGCAGAGGAAGTAAATAAGTTGTAAGTCATCTTTATTTTGATGGTACATGTACCAGGTAGTTGCAAAGAAAAGCTGATGGGTCTCTCAATTGAACAAACAATTATAATTGAACAATGGAATTTTCCATGTTGCTGTTCAGTAGCTATGGATAATGTGAACAGAGTTCTCTGACAAATCAGTGACCACCAGCTGCCCCTGTGTTGCCATGGCAACAGCCTGTGGCTTCTTCATGTCTGTAGTGATGTGTTTGAGGAATTTTCCTGTCTTGTCAAACATCTCCACACGGCTGTTTCCCCTGTCTGCCACGATGATGTTTCCTTCCCCGTCTGTACAGATGCCACGGGGATACTTCAGCTGACCTTCACCACTCCCCTCACCTCCAAACTGGAACAGAAACTGTCCGTCCTCGTTGTACACATAGACACTGTCATTGTCCCAGTCTGACACAAGAATGTTCCCTTCCCCGTCCACAGTGATGTACCGTGGTACCTTCATCCCCTGCTGCTGACCCACAGTTCTCACAAGTGTTCCATCTGGCCTGAACACTTGCACTTCACCTTGTGGGTTGCTCCAGTTTCCATTGGTTTGTATGATGAGGATGTGGTTCCTCCTAGTGTCCACAGCAACTCCTCTGTCCCACAATGTCTCCTGCAGGTTGAACTCTTTCAGCACCCTGCCCTGTTTGTTGTACTGCAGAGCAACATCAGCAGAGTGTCTGTCCCCCACCACCCACAGGTTCCCCTCCCCGTCCAGGGCCACATCATATGGGCACATCTTCTGTTCACCTGACACGACTGTTGGGAACTGTTGGTCCAAGTCTTCACCCTGCAGAGTGAAGACTTGGACCCTCTGGTTCAATCGGTCTGCTACAAAGATCTCCCCTTCATCTGACACAGCAACCCCACTTGGAAGGTTAAATTGTCCTGTTCCAAATCCACCAAAAGTTATTGTTTTGGGGACAGTTTTGGGGACAGTTCTGGGGACAGTTTTGGGGACAGTTTTGGGGACTGACTGTTGTTCAAATGTTGCATTATACACCCAATATGACGGGCTATATAATAACAAGGCTGCAAACAAGAGAAGCCATGCAACAGTCCTCACGGTATCTGAGGGCTGAACTACAGCAGGCTGGGTTTGTGCAGGAGTTGGTGCTGCTTTTCCTCTGTACTTTCCTACCACCCCTGTCAAAATGGCTTCCTGACCAAGAGATTCTACTCCTCCCTCGTGTACACTATATGACATCCAGTAGATTTCTAGCGGGGACCAATCATAGGGCTGCTGACGCGTCACCGACTAGCGGCTATTAGCACCTTGTTTCATGTAAATGCCATGAACTCAACCAGAGCGCGTATATTGTTTCTTGTTTACATCAGTACTAAGTACTAGTACTTCCACAATCAGTTAGTAAAGTCATACCTTAGTAAAATCTACTTTGATGAACGAATCAAAACGGGACTGTAGACATTAAGTTTTACACATTCAAATGTGGCTGCACTAGCGCTAATGGAGCGACCACTACGTACGGGAAGGAACTGATCTTAGCGAAGCCGAGATTTGTGAAGCAAACCCAACCCTTCGAAGACGGGCCGCCAAACACAAAAATGGAGGGAAATGAACAAGCCAACAAACACATCACCACTCCCCAGACCAACAAACTTGGAAAACACCACTTCAAGCGCTAATTAACGTTGTAAGAACTGTGGAACCTCAAACTAGTATGTTTGCGTCAGCGAAAAGTCTGTCGAAGTAACCACTACATGAAAAACTGCGGCGAAAAAGTAACATGGGTTCGTCCTAAATCTAGACGCAAGTGAGCTACAAAAGTAATAGAACCTATGCATCTTGCTTGTTGCTGTCAACTTACCCGTTAAAGATTGAACCGATACATGTACGTATATATACTATAACTTGCCATACCCGGCCAAAGACGACTACATTACTGTTACTCTTTATTTTGTGCTGTATAATGTATATGCGTTACATTATCTATCATTGTCATTTCTGTGAATTCCTTAAAACATCTACTGTTAGTTTGTGTAACATTACGTAGTGCTACAATCTGCGTAAAAAGTGGGCTTCATTACGTGTTATCTGCTAAGTCGTGTTGGTATTGAAAACTGTTTTATTCTGCCGTTCTTCTACAAACAGCCAGCAGAATTATGAAGATACTCATTCTCAATACACATGCTGCAAACTAAAGTAATGGCAGTCCTACTAAAATTCTGTTTGTAATGTATAAGCGCTTTATGTCGACGTACAATGGGTGTGAAATACATGTTTTCGCCCATCGTGTGCCACCGGCTCGGTGGTAATTGGCTACTTTACAAGTGAAAGAACCGCGTCCGTGGGCCTTGATAAATTATTCAAATTATTCAGCAGCCCTCTGATTGGTCCCCGCTAGAAATTTACTGGATGTCATTCAGTGACGAGCCTCCTCCCTGCTCCATTTCATGTTCTGCTCGATCACAGGCAGCAGACAGTTCATTAACATCTGCCAACACTCTGTCCCTTTCCTCTTGCAAAGCTTCTTTTTCGTCCTTGTATTTTTCTTCCACTTGAAGCAAAAGATGGTCTTTCTTTTCAGTAACTTTCTGCACTTCTTGTTCGTAGGTCTGAATGATGCTGTTGTCTAACTCTTGCTTCTTTTCATCTAGTGCTTTTTCTCTGTCCCTCAGACTCCTAAGAGAAGTACAGTAAGTCTCTAAGATGGTCCTGCCCTCAACAATAAGTGCCTGAACTGGAGCCCTCCTTTCTTCTGAGGCCTTCTTCAATGTTATGGTTCTATGATTACTGTGTATTTCATCCAAACACTCATTACAAACTGGCATGTTGCACTGTTTACAGTAGAGTTTGACTTCTTCAGAGGGGTGAAAGCTGCACCTGTTTCCAGACTCCCTTGTTTCCTCTGACAGTGTAGCCTGGTTTTGCAGTCTCTCACACAAACTTGTAACCAGGTGGTTGTCTGGCAAACCTGCGACCCCCTCGGGTGGCAGTATGACATGCCAACGACAGTTTGGACACTGGAAGGTCTCTTCCCAACCTGCATGGCCCTCTAGACAGTCCTGACAGAAGGTGTGCTGACAGGGCAGCACCTTGGGCGTGGTGAACAGCTCCAGGCAAATGCCGCAGGACAATTCTTCACGGAACTGTGTCCCCAAACTTGACGATGCGGCCGCCATTTTCTTCCCTTTTAAAAGCCGGTGACGTCACATGTGTCAAGTTTCAGTCATGCGTCTTGCCTGAATAGACCGTCTTTCTTTAGGCATCTTGTTTACACAGATCAGGTTGCGGCCCTGCTCAAGTCTATCATCTCTGCTTGACTGCCTATGAATACAGGTGTGCCTACATTTAACTGTTGAAACAGTAAAAGTTCACCCAACAATATTACTACATGACATTACCATTAGCCACCAGGTTACATAGTAATGTAATATTTTTTGTCTTCAAGGCAGCTCTGAGGAAAATAGACATGTTCATGGTGGTGGCAAATGCACGGAGGGGGTGAAAGAAAAAATGATTTGATGACAGTAATTGGGTAATGATAAAAAAAAGAGTTCTTCATGGATTTGTGTCCCCAAACTCAACGGTGCAGCCGCCATGCTGGTGTCGCAGCCTCGCCCCAAGTCAAAGTCCAACTTGACGTACAATGCACATGTTTGTCCTAGACTAGTCCTTTACTTGGAGGTGATAGGGGGCAACATGCCATTGTTGTCAATAAGCACTGTAATTGTTACTGTAACAGTCATTATTGTATTTGCATGTATACTCATAACAAAACAGTTTCAGAAGCAACTGGATAGATTTTGAGAATTGTTAGATGTAAATTTTGAAAACTGTCAGAAGTATAGAATCCACTACTCTTCGTACATTATATATAATCATCACTGAGGATATATAGTGGATGCTACTTGAAATGTCTCACTCACTCACACGTATCCGGTTTATCGTCTGTTGTTCCCTGTAATCCAAGACCATGGCAATTGCATTTATCAAGAAGTCAGTCACATTTGATAGTCCCAATTCTGTAATCTAAGTGTTGGAAGTTAAAGCTTAGTCTTTGTTTCATAAAGTCAGTCAAATCTTTACATTAGACAGGTGCTAAGAAGACAAGAATAAAACCAGCAATCATTATATTGTAATATACGTATACATTTATTCAAATTTCATCAATTGTACAAGGAGTGTTTCTGTTATTATAGAGTTGAAGTAGAGGCCAACTTACATGCATATGTGTAAGAATCCAATTTTTCCTCTTGCATAATATTTGAATTACTTTCATGCATTATAAATTAAGTACAACGAAAAGAGAACAAATAAAACAGTGTCTACATTGCTATTTCGGAGGGATGGATGATGTGGAAGGTATTTTGTGGAGGATCAGTCCCCACCAGCTGCCCCTGTGGTCCCATAGCGACAGAATATGGTGATAACAAACACACATCCATAGGGATCAGTCTGAGGAACTGGCCTTCGTTGTCAAACAGGTTAACAGAACATCCTCTACATTTTACCACAAGGATGCTACCTTCTGCATCTGTACAGAATTTGCACATTACATGTGTTTTCACATCCTCGCTGCAATCCCTACTCTCATGGTCAAAAGTGTGATAAAACTGTCCGATCTTGCTGTCAATGAAGATACAGTCCACATAATGTTTTTTTCACCAAAATGTTCCCTTCCCTGTCCACACTTAGGGATGAAGGTTCCTTCATCACCCGCATATCACCCACAGTTATCACAAGTGTTCCATCTGGCCTGAACACCAACACTTCCCCTTGTGTGCCCCAGTCTCCTGTGCCTTGTGTGATGAGGATGTGGTTCCTCTTGGTGTCCACGGCAATGTGTCTGTCCCCTTCAGCCCCCAGGTGGTCAATCAGGCGAATTTTCCTCAGAGCCCTGCCCTGTTTGTTGTACTGCACAGCAAACTCATCATAATTCTCTGTCCCTCCCCATCTAGGGCCACATTTCTTGGGCACATGCTCTTCTGATGAAAGAAGGGTAAGAGAAGCGAATATGTGTCACATAAACACAGTGATTCTTACAGTCCGACACAAGAATGTTCCCTTCCCTGTCTACAGTGATGCACCATGGTTCCCTCATGCCCAGGCTGCTGACCCACAGTTCTCTCAAGTGTTCCATCTGGCCTGAACACTAAACACTTTACCTTGTGAGTTGCTGTTATATATAGTATTATATTGACTGACTATTCTCCTTCTTCTCCTGCCATTTTTTAAATGGATTCAGCTTCTTCATTTTAGGGCCTAAGGTCCTGAAATTTGGTATGGAGGTACAGTGGGCAAATACCCCTAGGTGTTTTTTAAATTTTTGTGATACAGGCTTTTAGAATGGTTTTATTTGAGCTTTTTGGCTGTGTTATAGCAAATGTATTACTGAGTTAGTGTGCAGTGTTACCACATTTGGGCATGAGTCATCACAATGGAATGCAGGGCATCAACCAATAGGCATGCAGCTTTCCTCTATTCTCCTTGCTGATTGGCTGTTGGAATTTAACAGGCTTAACTTAATTAATACCTGCTCAGATCCATTCCATACTGACAGTATGTCTGTATTCAAGTGTTTTGGTAGGTATTTCAAGCTTTCCTGCTCCAGCATTGGAATGCGGGGCATGAACACTTCTTTTTTTCTTGAAAATCAACAGTTTGCATTATGCAATTAAAAATCCTAACCAATAATGTAGGGAATAGCTATCCAACTGTTGTAGTCTTAGTTGTATGTTACTTCATACTATAGTTATATCAATGTAAAGCATTGTTTTCCCTTGTGTTTCTCATTCTTTCCCTGCCATGTCGTAAAATGTGGTGAAGCCATTGCTGTATTTGCTCCAAAGCAAATGTCGGCCTTTCTAGTTACAGTTTGGGTTTGATATGCAACAAAACTTAGACAGTCTAGTATGTCACGAGGCAAAATCATCCATACTTGAAGGTAATATTACTCTTAAGCTGTTGATGTAGTCATGGATGTAGGAAAGACTAATTTCAATTTGATTCAATAGTTTTGTTGCCAAACATTGTGCACTACATGTAAATGCATAGGATTCTGGAGCAATAAACTTTCAGGATGATTCAGAAAAGGGCGTGCAGGATATTCCTAGGTAGAAACTATATTAGCTATGACACAGCAATAGAGCACTATCACTCACACCTTTGTATTTGAGATGCCGTAATCTCTCTGTGAACTTTGCAATGTCGATAGCTAAATCTCCCAACTTCCTCCTAAACGTGGAAGCCTACATGTACATGGCAGAGATCTGAGATTGAAAGACAACTTCACGCAGTTTAGCTGCAAGATGCATAGGTTCAAGAACAGTGTTTTACCCTTTATTGTCAAACTGCTGAACCAGTCTTAATAGATTTTAATTGAATGAATGAAGACCTTTATTGTACATACATACATTGTACCCACTGGGTTAAGTACAGGTCACAAAAAGATGGGCTATAGATAATGTTACATAATATTATATACATCGTCAAGTAGCTACAATCAAGTAAATTCGGTTTCTTCTCATTTCTTAATAATGGCAAAAATGTAAGAACAGATATGTTTCAATACAGAAGGTTTGTTTAAGCTCATTAGAAATATTAATTTATCTGTACAGCTTAGATATATATGAAGAAAGGGAACATAGATTGTATCAGATTAATATAGAGATCTAGTACTCTCTCTTTGTGGTATAGTTTACATTCTGTTACAAAATGTTTCTCATCTTCGATTCTTCCTATATCACAGTACCGACATATTCGTTGTTCTAGAGGAGTGCGGTTATGTCTACCGGTTTCGATGTGTAATTTGTGGCAACTAATTCGCAGTTTTGTGATGGCAGTTTTGTGCCGTAGATTATCAATATTCAGATACTGTTCTTCAGTATAGGTGGAATGTGTATTATGCCCCAATTCAGCCATGTAAGGCTGCAATGGCAAAATTGTGTGTTGTAAATAATAACTTTAAAGCAAACCAGTTCATCATTCATTCATACATAACTAACTCTTGCCACCTCAGATCGTGGTCCAAGCTGTGGTGCTGTCTGCAGTCTGTAACCTGTCCTTCCTCATCAAGCCGCCGGCTATAAGGAAGGAAGACCTCAAACTCAACCTGTGGAACTCTGCAGGTAATAGAATTGTAACTTTGTTTACTCAATTGAAATTAACTCAAGTCAGCCTGCTGGCAGCTTTTCATTGAGCACATACATGTATGTAAGGAAGAGGTCTAGGTCAAACAGAAAGTTTCGTGTTTGAGATCCTGTTGAAATAACAATAAAACTTAGGGTATAGAATTTTCTTCTTACACAACCAGTAAAGGTTCTCACCTGCTTATGTTACAATGTCTATCAGACACCTTCCTTAGAGATTCTGACTGGAGAAAAAATAGCGGCGAGTTGCAGAACTCTAGTCAGAATCTCTAAGGAAGTTGTCTGAAAGACATCGAAATGCAAGCAGGTGAGAACCTTTACTGGTTGTGTAAGACAAGAAAATTCTATACCCTATCTTCCAACCTGATGAAATTATTTACGGGAACAATGAAACTATTTTTCCTGTTCAAGTTTTTACGTCCCTAGAGTAAAACCTTCAGGAGATAGAATTAACCTCAAGAACACATTGTAGCAACTGACATGTTGCATGACTACATTTTGTTTTGCAGCACCAAAGAAGATCCGCCCACCTACCATAGCCAACTGCCAAGGAGCCAGGAAGAAACGGGAACTCAGTAAGAAGTCAGCTTCGACAGTCAAGGAGCTCCTTCTGTTGTTCGTCTTTGTGGCCGTCCTCTTCTACATCGCCCAGGCCAACAACGACCAAAACGTGTTCTATGAGACCCGCACGCTGTCCACCACCGTTCTACGTGATCATGATAAGGTGAGTAAGCAAGGAGTTGTGTGGCGTAGCGGTAGTGTCTTCCGCCCGGATCTTATGTGCCCTTGGGAAAGGCTGAGTCTTTACACGATTTTCCTCACTTCACTCAGGTGCAAATGAGTACCATGCTTCGGCTATAGGGACGTCCCTCAGATAGGACGTTAAATGGAGGTCCCGTGTTTGGGGAGAGCCACACCCCAGGCACGTTAAAGATCCCACCACACCTTTCGAAAAAGAGTAGGGGCATGCCCCGGTGTGCGATGGTCCAAATACTGGTCTGATTTTTCACTAACAGTTCTTCCTTCTTGGATGGAAATGCTTTGGGTTGCTTACTGGGAAGGGTGGTTAGTTAATCTCCAAGCAGATCTTTAGGTGGCCGCAAAAGACTGTTACTGTATCAAATTTACCAGGCAGTATCCATTAGCCATCCAAGGCTATTGGTCAGTCCTCTGGCCAATTGATACTGCCTTGCCACAGTGACTCATGCCCATAGCCAGGATTTTGAATGGGGGGGTTCTTCCCACTGCTTGAAGGGACCTCGAGCGCCGAAGGTGCAAGGTTCCTAGGGGGGTCCGGGGGCATATCAAAATTATGGGAATGCATATAAGCACCATGGCCTTATGGGATGGCATATCAGCACTATGGCCTTATGGGATGGCATATCAGCACCATGGCCTTATGGGGTGGCATATCAGCACCATGGCCTTATGGGATGGCATATCAGCACCATGGCCTTATGGGATGGCATATCAGCACCATGGCCTTATGGGCCTTAGTCCATACTACTCAGCATTAGTATCTAAGGCTAATGCCACTCAGGCGTCGCAAAAACTTATTTATATTATTAATATGTTATTTTTTGCATACAGATCAGGACTCCCGACCAGTTCTACATGTGGGCTGAGGAAGTCCTGCTGCCGACCCTGTATCCGTCTGCCTGGTACAATGGGAGGAAAATGAAGTTCTTGGACCGACAGTTTGCACAGAACACCGAGTCCTTCCGAGTCGGCCCCCCTCGCTTGATGCAAGTTAGACGACGTCCAGGTACAGTGACGATATATTTTTTGTTTTCATCTTTCATTTCCTGTTTTCATCTACCGGTAATTCTATATCTGGTAAAAAGTGTGTTCCAGGAATTTATCTGTTTGATGTTTGAAAGTCTGTAGTATAAGGTTGGTTACTGGATGTAGTCTTTTGTTTCAGTGATCACCTTCCACTATACATGTATATACATACACAAAATGCCAGTAAATGATTCTTGCTCCCTGTAGTAACTCTTTGAGACAACAAAAGATGGTAAATGGTTGATTGCATTACATCATAGAGTGGATTATTACTCAATACAATTGTATCTCCACCCACTCACTCCTTGCTGCTGAGGACAAAATATATCCCCATACTACTACAGTATAACCAACAAGTCCTGTGGCGATTGTTTTCAATGCAGATGCCACTACATGGAAGACTGGTGCTGGCCAAGGCTGGAGCCTGTCTGTACAGAACATGTCCTATTCCTGCTGGCGATTTGCGGTTCCAGATCTTCTGAATCACCCCAAGTTTCACACATTCAACTGCACCAACTATCACTCCCTGGACTTGCCTCTTGATCATGACACCGCTGCATTGTTCTTCCGTGCCTTGAAGGACTCTGAATTTCTGGACAAGTACACGGTTTCCATGGCGATTGACATTAACTTCTACAACCCCAGCCTGAAGCTGTTCAGCGTTGTGCATCTTGTCCTAGATCATTCTGGAATAGGGAATCTCGTGCCAACGGCTACAATCACTTCATTTGGTCTGTTCCAATACGAAAGTAATGCTGACTTTGTGAACTTGTTCATACACATTGTATTCACACTGCTCTTCTCAGCAATGGTGTTCAAGGAGGCAAAATTGGTGAAAAACATGGGATGGAAATATTTTGCTTCGCCATGGAATGCCCTTGGATGCCTAAGCCTCATCGGCATGGCAACGGTCATCTCAGTTTTCATCAAGCGATACACCGTGGCATCTGATACACTTGCAGTGATCGCCAAAACTAATGGTACGCTGTCCTATGCATTACTGATATACATGGACACAAAATATCAAGACCTTGTATCTTAGCATAAAGTTCACCTGAGTTGATGAATTACAATAATTTGTGGAAAGGTTTAACTGTTCTCCAACTACGTGTACATGTACAAAGAATTTACTTTTTGGCTGACTCGTTCAGTCACCCTCTTGGCTAAAATGTGTAACTATCATGACACCAGTGATCGATGACACAATTACTGACTTTTTGCATGTGTGACATCAGCAAAGAGTCATTAAGTAGAAGTTGATTATTCCCCTTTCTTGTCCCTGTTTGTTGTTTCAATGCCAGCAGGAAAATTTTATACTCTCAGACTGTTGTATGTTTAACTTAGTAAATTACCCCTTACATGGGTATCAAATGTTTGAATTGAATGTTGTGCATGAGTGTTGACTTTTCATTCCTGTTTTAAAATTTTTGAGTGAACTCTTGTCCAATAGGTGAGCTGGGATTTGAACGTTTTGTGGACCTGACGACTGCTGCATGGTGGGATGCGTGTTTCGTGCACAGCGTCGGGATCGTTGTGTTCATCAACACCGTCGCCTTGCTTTGTGTCGTCCGCTTCAGTCAGACCATCGGCAAACTGCTGGCTCTTCCCGGCATCATGAAGGATGAGCTCCTCTCATTCTTAGTCGTCGCTGCTGTCGCCTTCATGTCTTTCATCAGTGCAGGTACGCAGACCATAGTAATGGATGGATGGATGGATGGATGGATGGATGGATGGATGGATGGATGGATGGATGGATGGATGGATGGATGGATGGATGGATGGATGGATGGATGAATGAGTAATTTGTACCATGGAAATGAGCAACATAACTGAAACAGATCTACACCTTCAATATCATATCCATTATTGCATTGTTCCCCATATGCAGTACTGGTTTTAGATATAAAATGATGAGTGATTGTTGAAGGCTAATAATAAGATTCTTTATTGACACAACAAAAAAGTACAGGGACTTTTGTATTGTCTTCTACAACTAGATCTAACAAAGCTGAATACATGTAACTGTGTGCATAATGTCGTCTTACATACAGAGTATATGTATGCTGTAACAATAAGATTATACATCTGTTGTTGTTTCAGGATACCTTATCTTCGGAAGCCACCTGAAGTCTTACTCGGACTTGTACCACACAACCTTTGCTCTCTTCGAAATGATGCTTGGGAGGTAAAAAAAATGTCCACTTTGAAATATGTAATGAGCTGGGTGGAAGCATTGTCTTGGGTAGCTCACATTTGGGGTGTGTGGTATCATATTTGGGTTCAAAAGTGGCAAAGGTTGCTAGAGAATTGCAAGTTTTTTTGACAGTTGAATTTCATAGATAGGTCATGCTTGAAGGTGGCTGAGCACGTGCCAGGTCGGAGCATGTCATTGGGTGTAATACAATAATAATTACCTCCAGGGGAGGAGACATCCTTCCACGGAAGGGTTTTGTGAGAGATTTATTATAATATATAATAAGATTTTCATGTTCGCAGCTTTTTCTCGCGTTTGGGTGGTCGGATATTTTTGGGACTCCAAAAATATGTGTATGTTTTGCTATTGGGCTGTAGATGATGCACGTTCTTTTGTTTTTATTGTATAATGTGTTTTTGGGCGTGAAAATGGTGCCTTTTGGTGGCATCAGAACACCCCTTTGAGCGTGAAAATGGTCGCGACCGTTGACCTTTTGCATGTTTAAGATATTCTCAGTCTGGTCCACGTATATGACCCCTCGCACAGAGGGGTGTCCGGTCTCGATAAATTCTTTGTTTAAAACCCTAGTCCTGTGGCGCGCAATAATTGTTGTGCACAAAATTCAACACCATCAACTATGCATAACAAACAACATATAAAAATATACAATAAAAAGCCCGGAGGTATAAAATCTCAGATTTTACTTGTTGTAGTTGTGCAAGAATTCAGTAGGTGTACAGTAAGTGTTGTAATATTGATTAGATTATATCATACAGTCCCCATGACAGTTGCAATATGTTCCTAAAATACTTCAAATCCTGTAAATCCAATAAAAACGCCTAAACCTCTAGCTTGGAGAGTAGAACTTTAAATTTGTCTTACTGTCTGCTTCTGCATGTGTGCTGTCAGGTTCTTCGCCAGTGACATGCAGAAAGCTGTAACCAGCTAACTTGTAGTTAAAATGTAATACAGTGTGACAAGCTGGATAATCTCCATAGGAGAACTTTTGATGCCTGTGAATCATGTTGTACAATGTTGTACAATGTTGTATAGAGTGAAAGTATTTTTTTTGGTGGCATTGTTTACGGTAACATGCCCATATCCAGGATTTTGAATGGGGGGGGGTTCTTCCCACTGCTTGAGGGGACCAGCGAGCACTGTAGGCACGAGGCGAGCGCCAAAGGCGCGAGGTTCCTAGGGGGGTTGGGGGGTATGCTCCCCCAGGAAATTTGAAAAATGAACCTTCTGAAATGCTTCTGAGGATTTCAAAGAAAAAATCAGAGATAACTTTTTATTCAATGACAAAGTAGGCAGTTTTTATACGATTCCAGGCCCGCTGGTGATACAAATCAGCCCATCTAAAGAAAAATCTTGGACCTTTAGATAAAAAAGTGAACCAAAAAGTGGACCTTTGAGCCTTGTGGGGGGGTTCTTCCAAACCCCCCTGGCTACGGGCATGGGTAAGAGCTTGTGTCATTGTCAGCATCTGCGTGTGTGTTTTCTCAGGTTCTTTGCTAGTGACATGCTGGAGGCTAACCCTCTCATCGGGCCGGTCTTCTTCTCCGCCTTCATGGTCTGTATCTTCACCCTCCTCATGAACTTCCTCATGTCCATCGTCTGTGACGCCATTTCCGCTGATGTGGACGTCAACCACGACCAGGAGCTTGCGGAGCACATGTGGAGCAGCGTCTGTGCCAAGTTGGGTCTGAGCAGCCCTCCCAAGGAAGTGGTCCAGGAACCAGGTAATTATAGGCATGCTAATCTCCAAGCAGGTCATACGGTGCAGGGCTCGAAATTAAAGGTGGTCCAATGGCCACTGACCACTAAAATTTAGGCTGGGACAACTAAAAAGATACTTTGGGACATTTTTGGGACAATCGAAAAATGATCAACATCAGAATGTTAGCCCTTCTTTTGTTTATCAGGCACACGTCCCGGCTTTTGGATCTGAAAAAGTCCCCCTGAATTTCCTGTCTACTCTGCAGTAATTATAGTGCGCCCCAGGGACTGAACATAAGCAAAATAAAGTTGACTTCAAGTAGAAGTACTAGTCATACAAGACTTCCAAAAAAACAGGTTGGGACAGTTCATCCTCACTTCGGGACAATTGAAATTTATTTTTGGGACAGTGCTGGGACAATAGGAAGAAAAATTAATTTCGAGGCATTCAGTGGCAAGGCAGTATCCACTGGCCAGAGGAGTGTCCATTCTGGCCAGTGGACTGCCTTGCCACTAAATGATCTGCTTGGAGATTAGGTCAGTGTAGTTTTACATGTTATGTAGGTCATGGTTGGAAGAAGGGGTCTGCCACTGAGTACTTTATGGGACATGTGAAAATCAAATAAGTTTGCAATGACTTTTAACTGAAACAGCCCTCCTAATGCTAATCTCCAAGCAGATCATAATTATGGTGGCAAGGCAGTATCCATTGGTCCATTCTGGCCAAGTACTGCCTTGCCACTCTATGATCTGCTTGGAGATATGGTACCGTAATGCTTCAATGTGATACATTTACATGTATGTACTAGGTCATAATTGTTGGAAGAAGGGGCGTGCCACTGAGTACTTTACAGGCTTATGAAATATTGTGAAAATCAAATTATTGAGCTTGCAAAATATTATACATGTACCTGAAACAGTGATATGGCCCTGATAATGTCTTTATTGCATTGAAATGAGATAATCATTGCCACTTACATGTATGTTGGCAGTGCTTCAGTCTGCAAATTTCTGTATTAAAGCATGCAGAGAAATGCATTGTAGCTTGAAATGACTTGTTAGGGTTATTTTATAACACACAGCTGTGACCATGTCGTTACAAAAGTCCTGTTGTCATATTTTTAAGACCTAGGCAGTGTTTATGTGAAGTCACCCAAACCGCGATTCGGGTAACTCACATTCCTCACATCTGGTCCACGTGCCGCACATTCCTTTGAAACCATGTCTGATCATGATTCGCTTGAGTTACATTTATTGTTGTTTGATGAAAACTCGCAAGGTAGCGTGCTATTAATGTCAGAGGTCAACGACCTTCTTGCTGATACCCCGCTCCCAGCGTATCTCAGCCGAATGCCGACGTGGTCTCGCCAGAGGCGGTGAAGCTCGTCCTAGAACGGACACATTATTTGACCATTACTGCTCTTTAAGTTACTGCCACGTAAAAGTTGGTATTGCATAATAATATATATATAAATAAAGAAATATATATTGCATAAAGAAATAAAGAAGTTACATTGAAATCACATTGCGTTCAGACACAAATCGCGATGCGGGAAAACCGATTCGAAACCACTTCTAGAAGTAGCTTGGGATCAAGGCGCTTTCAATGTGATTTGGAGCGTTCAGATGGAGCCACTTGTAACCGGCTTCGGGGTAAACCACATGTAAAGCGCCTTGGGTGACTTCACATAAACACGGCCCTACTTCCAATGTTTTCCTTCTGCACAGGTGAGCTGAAGCTGGAAAAGCTGCAGGAAAACCTGGGCATCATTCAGGAGCAGCTGGATCAAAGTCTGAACATCTGTGACTCCATACTGCCATCACGTCATCGCTACAACCTGGACCAGCCCAGTACTAGTTCTGCTCCTCATTATTGTGAAGTAAAGATTGTCATCCAGCATGCTGAGGATGACTAACTTGGAGGCAAGCCTTTAATAATAATAATAATAATAATGAATTATGCTCTGCATTGAATTAGGGCGGTCCGTCTACACTCTACATACATGTACTAGGTAGAATTAAAACAGCCGATTACGCTCTACGGAGAGGGTATGCTGGCCCCAATACCATACATGTATTCAGCATTATAATATTATATATTCATTGGTAGAACATACTGTCCCTGTATTGTGCATACAATGTAGCACTGTGGCAGATATATTTATTTATGAATTGAAGGAGCTGTAGTTCCTTAATCTGTAGTTCCTTAAATAACATGGACTTAAGAGATTAGTACAACTGGAAGCAATTCACAGGGTTTTTTTTGGTAGTTTAGGCCATGTTGATTTGATTATATGGATGACATCCGTGCGCGCATGAATTTTCGGCCGTTTCCAAAAAAAAAAGTTTTCAACCATACTGTAAATCGTACAAAACAGTTGCAAAATGAGCAAAAATATACTGTAAGTTACAAAAAAATAAGTAAAAACTATACCAATGTCGTAGAATGCCAAAATCAAACGAAAAAAGACGAAATTGTAAGGAAATGAACTTAAAGATTTAGATTATTCGCCAAACCATATTCTGTCCCATTTGTTCAACCCTCATGACTACATGTACGTAGATTTCATAATGAAAACAACTTTTTTTTTTTTGCAAAACTTTTTTTTTATTCGCACGCGCGTATCAGTTTTGGGGCTCCCGGAGAATGTCATCCATATAATCAAATCAACATGGCCTTACGTTATTAAATGGTCACGTTTCAGATTTATAAGTAAAATTGAGAAATTTTACATAGCAGATAATCCTTAAATTATGTCCTTAAAATGTTGCAGGGATTGTTGTAAATGAATTATATAAGTTCCCATTATGTGTTTCCGTGATGTACTTTTGCTTGGTTAGTTAGTTGGTTGGCCAGTTAATTCCTTGATTGGTTGGTTGGCTAATTGGTTGGTAATACACATGTTTGAGGTGTGGTCAGGAATTAAGTAGCAGTCTATTGGCAGTATCCTCACAAAGAAGTGTAAAAAGTTTATTCATTACTGGTATGTAAGATTATGACTGAATGTATGACTGAATGTAAAATAGTCCACCCGGATCTATGCAATAAATGTATGTGTTAACTAGATGAATCTGTGATTTGTTCTGTACCAAAGTGTTAACTGTTGGCCTCCCTGACAGAAGCTGCTCTGTCTCATCATGGACACCCTGGCTATATATGGAATATTTGCCAGGGGAGTTTGGCCGCCTTGTAGGTTTGACTGGCCGCGCAGAGGGAAAGAAACTACCTTCCCGCGGCCGGACTGCCTTGGCCAATTTTACTCTCTTTTTTGCCGAATTCTACGATCCGTATTCCCGTAGAAAGGCCTGGTGGAGGCTACATTGGCGTGGGGTATTACAAACTAAGGAAAGTGCCCTTCCCACGGAAACGTCTTGCACGGAATTCGAACCGACAACCTCTCAATCTCGTGTCCGCTGACCTATAAACCCGTCGGCCATAATCATTTTGCAGTGCTAATATTAGGTAAAAGTAAAAACCATAGACAGAAGGACACCATATGTAAAACAACTTACAGTGTCATTTATTCCAAGTATTCATAACTAGTACTGTAACAGTTACCTGTTTTCCAGTCAGCAGACATAAAATACCTCTCTCTACAAAATTATACAGCGGTTATGATAAATACATTCACATGAAGCTAAATTTGTAGCCAGTATTTTCAATTGCAAAAGAGAAAATTCTTCACAGTCAACGTTCTGTTTGTGCGGTACCATACAATTGCAATGGGCTTGAAAAAATAGATTGAGGACAATGATCATTGTCATTATTACTTTACAGAATTACAGAACTTTGTGATAAGTTTGCTCAATGTCACATATTTCAAAACTTCATCAAATCAAAATAGAAATGTAATTCAAACAAATAAAATTAACTTATTAAAACTTATATATAAGGTGTAGAGGTTTGTCTTAGGGGTAATACCAGTATTGAGTTTGTCCAGACATCAGAATTAGCAACACCGTACATACAAAATGTAAGACCATGAACTTTAGCCAATACAAAGCATCCTCAGTCTATACTTTAAAATAATGTTAAACGCCACCCCAACTTATGCTGCAGCTGCAGAGTGCAATTGCTTCTACAGGGTGTTTGATGATAAAATGTAAGAATCCATTACTTGCTTATCAGTAGTTGACATTTTTTAATTCCCCACTTCCTTTAAGAGCTGGTTAAGTATTTCCACTTTTAACTTAGAGAGACAGCAACAGATATAGTTACCTGAAACCAATGGAACATTACATAAGTTAGCCTCCACATCTGCATAATGTGATGTCACAGAAGCGGTGGATCGCTCCTTCCTTGACAAAGACTGACAAAAAATAATAGTTGAAAATTTGGGTAAGTCCAATTTCTTTTGCTGGAAATTATAGCAACTGTTCAAACCAATGCTTCATATTGCAATGTTGCATGAAGACAGTGTCATTCTAAATTATTCATTTAAATAACTCACTAGTTAAATAACTCACTAGCAAAGTACACTGTCATACAAAATGTACATGATTGTACATTGTGTATAAGAGAAATGGAACTTTCTTAAAATGTCTCCATCGCATTTGTTTGGTAGGTTTTCCACAATGGTCGGTACATAAAATGTGCACCCTTATTATACACATGACATAAAAACTACTAAAATTTATAACAATTTCCACATTTCAAAATTTCTGTGAAAGTACATGGGTAGAAAACTATATTTGCATTACCATTGTTTTAGCATGATATATTTCGCTTGCAAATAACAGCCTCTATTTGTTACCTATTATTTAATAATCTTACAGTAAGTTCATACAATAAACAGTATACGGTTTGCTCTACATTCTCCAATATTCAAATCTCACAACACTAAACAAGAGAATATTCCACAAAGTTAAAATTTACAAAATAAAAGATGATCAAACGGTTCAATCTTGAGTTGTTTTAGTAGACAACCAAGAAAACACGATACTGTTCCTCCAACACAGTACATGTACATACATTGTGTAAAATAGAAAGTTGCACATGTTTAGAAGTAAGCAATCCCATAAAGTAATAAGTCTTGTATTTTAATCATTGTCTTTTGTTTGTTATATACAACTGTTAATACAAAAAGCAGAGAATCAGTCACTGTTGCACATATTTATATGCAGTTAAATCTAACCTTCAAGTCCTTCATGAAAATTCTGAAAGAGATGCTGGGTTGACAAATCCTGTTACATACAATGTATCTAAAAGATTATGTTTCAAAATTTGTTCACTGTACAGGGTGGATGAATACATTAATGTTAGTAGTCATGATTCAGCTTTAAACCTCCCATTAACATTTATCTGCCGGGTTACATACAATGTCATGAATATCCACTAAGTTGAAAACACTGTGTTTGAGAGATACCGGTAATGCAACCTCCCCCAGGTACATTGTACAGTACCAGGGCTTATTGGATTGAAGGGCAGTAGGCATGACGAGAGCACCAAAGTCACTCTGTATGGATTTCAAGGCTTCAAAAATGCAATTTCAAACATTTTGAGAGGCAAATCATGGGGTTAAGAGTGGTTGTCAGTGGTAATTTGGATCTTTTAATTTTTTTAAAATTTTGTTTCAAATTGTCAAGGTTTAAACATTTTTCTGTCTCACAACAGCCAAGGTGCCAGCTATTGACAGAGAAAACAGGCGCTGGCTCTGGTATGTATAGTTTAGATAATACAGTCTGGCTGACGTTGCATTGGAGATCTCTCATTTTTTTTCAGAATGGCATATTTACTTGTATGCGACCTGGTAAAATAATGTTAACTTAAGACATCACTGTGTTTAATTTTGCCATGTTCATGTTGGAAAATTATTAGTATGAAATCCTTACCCTTTTTCCACATCAGTTATATAGAATACTTTTTTGTATAAGTTGGAATGTAAGATTGTCATAGAGTATTTAATTTAGTGATCATATTATTTTTTTTTACAGGCTACTCATGAAAGGTGTAGATAGCAGGTCTGTACTTCATCTCACTACTTGCAGGTTGATATGTTAGGCTACAACAATTTAATTTGTTGTTTCTCTTTTCCACATGCTTCATTTCCCCCAGTAAACAGTAGTATGTGCCATTCAAGGTGCCACCAACAGTTGAAGAAAGTCCTTGTTGTTACAGTTCATATCCTTTTATCAATGCATCATTAAAAATTCATTGTATGAATTATCAGTTAGCCTAGTGTTGACAATATAATGTGCCTTTTAAGGTATCACAGAATGCTCAGGCCTCCCCTTCTTTTTTAATTCCACCTGCCCAGTTCAATTTCTTGGAAAAAAATACACTCCAGTAACAGTTACTTTTAGTTTATAATAACAAGTCTGATTGGTGTGGCCTTTATTGACAAGTAATAGTCAACACAGATGGATACATGAGAAACCAACAACTTGAATTGAGATCTGAACCTGAATTCTTCCAATTTTCAAATCTAAATTGACTGGACCAGGTGTTTACCATGTCCATGTAGGTTGACATATTTTTTAATCTACAAACCAGGACCATGTAATTGTTGGGGGGGGGGAGGTGTGCCTTAAAATCCAGAGAGTCTTGGGGCATACACTATTTTTGGAACTTCGAAACCTTTGAAATGCTATTTCACATTTTCATAAGGAAATTTTCTTGGAGTAAAATTGTTGTCAAGTCTGTCGACATCTTTAAGCTTACAATTTTTTAAACAATGAATGGAATTTTTGTCCATCCCAAGAAAGGGATGGGTCCTGGAGACAGCCCTGCTATTAGAAAAGAAGATCTACAGTAGATGTACAATGCCCTTGTAAGAAGCACCGATTGAGGAGAGGACTTCTATGATGCACATGTTGGTCTCTCTGGACAGCACCCTCCCGAACCGTTGTGCTCTTCTTCACCTGTTTCTAGAATTATTCTGGATGGAGAGTCACCGACAGTAGCCGGCTCTTCTTCCACTGATTCATCCTTTTCCCTGCTTGCTATCTGCCAGTGAAAGTGACATTTGAAATTAAGGCCACAACAATTTAATTTGTTGGAAAAGTATAATCATACAATTATGATACCTTATTTAAAAATAACTAAAAATGCATGCAAACTGCATATTCCTTATTTTTTGTGCAGTTATGTATTATGTACAATGTATTAAATTCTGTATTGTTGTATTTGAACTCTTAAATAAAAAAACGTTTTTACGATTTAAAAATTACTTCTACATAACACCACAGGAAATCAAATTGGTGTTGCAGGATACAGAAGAAGAATTTTATTAACACAACAAAAGTAAAACGACTTTCGTAAGGTAAATGACAGAGTTAACAACTTTTTCCAGATTAAACAACGTGTCTGGGCACAGAGTGAATGGTAAAACATTACAGCAAAATCAATGATACCATTAATGAGCATCACAGCAAGTACACAAACACAGGAAACTAATAGTTTGTTACCTTCCCAGCATCCTCTCCATCTATCCCATCAACCTCCAGAACATCCTTCCCAGCAGCCTTTGCAGCTTCCTGTTCCCTTCTACCGTCAGCAAGGCTTTGCCAGTGCTGCCTGTTGTCTTCACACCCCTTCAACATGGGACTGAGGCTGGGGAGGGCTTTGGCTAAGTACTGCAGCCATAAACAAATTAATGGTAGAAAAATTTAATAAATGTGACATAATACAAAGTTAATCAAACAACTGGAAAATTCTCTGAAGAGTCAGATGCTTTAGATATCACATTATCTTTTGTCAATTGCTGAAAAACTTATTTACTTTGTGTTATGTGATGTTCTACCTGATGTCTTACCTTCTTTGACGTAATGTACAACTTATCTTTTGTCTATAGTTATGAAGTGATCACATTTGTTATTGAGCGTGGTATAATTTTCAATCAGGCTGATAGTGACTGAACCAACTGCCAACTAGGATATAATTACATGTAATACATAGTATTACAGACTTGTCCATAACATGACAGCTGAACATTGCACAACACATGAACACCAGGCATGCCCTCATGATCTGAGTCTCTTACCTTGTAGACTGGCATACAGATTGCATCAATGAAGTCCACCTGCATCTCAGGCAGCTTGTCTTTTTTCTCCCTGTTCATCATGTCCTGGACAGGGAGAAATATCACTGTGTCAAATTTGCTTGCCCAAACTGCCTTTAGGCTTAACACACCTGGTCCAGCTTTGTACAGTTAGAAGAAGCTGCATAATTGTAAGAACAGACTGTATGGTAACTAAACAACTCACACTGGGAAGGATATACTAGTAGTGTGGCAGGATCTTTAATGTGCTTGAGGTGTGGCTCTCCTCACACAAGATACCCCCAGCTTTACCCATCCAAGAGGACATGAATTTTGTATGTGTATAAGAGGTGTTAAGGTGGTCTTCTGGATAGGGTAGAATAAAGGTTCTTGGTTTGAATGCATAGCAGGCCCAAATGTACAAACTGTATAGTATTACTCGATCTGCTGTGCCCTTGTACAGAAAACTGTATTGGCACTTTCTGTATCTGTATCAGTGTAGCCGGTATAACCGCCTTTCGGCGTAACACACCAGCTTCTGTATCTGTATAGCTGGTATAACCGCCTTTCGGCGTAACACACCAGCTTCTGTATCTGTATAGCCGGTATAACCGCCTTTCGGCGTAACACACCAGCTTCTGTATCTGTATAACCGGTATAACCGCCTTTCGGCGTAACACACCAGCTTCTGTATCTGTATAGCTGGTATAACCGCCTTTCGGCGTAACACACCAGCTTCTGTATCTGTATAGCCGGTATAACCGCCTTTCGGCGTAACACACCAGCACACCACCAACATACCACCAACTTTACACCAGATCCTTACTTGACCAGCACACCACCAACACACCACCAGCTTTACACCAGATCCTTACTTGACTCGAGTGATGATAATCTAGCTGCAGTTAGGGATGTCCTCTTGGATGGGAAGAAAAGCTAGAAGTCTGATGTTTGAGGAGAGCCACGTGTCATGTTAAAAACCCCACAGGACCAGACCTACATTTTAAATTGTTGTACAGTAGCGAAAAGTGGGTCCTTCACAGCATGAGTGGATCAAACCTTTAGTCTGATCTCCAGGTTGATATTTTGAAAAAGTGATAGACACCCGTTGATTTCAATCCTTCTTGAAAATACAGAAAATGCCAATAAAATAGAATAAAAAGAGGAATTTGGGTGTACACTGACAATGACTGACCATTGGCTGTATCTTCAGTTGCTCTTTCTCAAGGTCACCTTGTTCAAAGAACTCTGAAGCAACCAGCTGGGCAACCTGAGGAACAAAACATGTTGTTAAGTGATTAGTAAACCTGTTATGAGCATGCTAGTATCATCAGCTCAATAACATGTACATGTAGTCAACTTTGAATAACTGGACTTTAAATGGTGAGGTCTTCCTATTCCATGTTTTTGATGCAGGCACAGAAACACAATCATTGTAATATCAAAACAAAAGAAATAATTCATGCATATAATACAATAAATATAATAAAATTGTAATGTCAGCGTAGAATCTATAATGCAGATTGTACTAGATTAATGTAGTTACTAATATTAGTAATTTTTATACAACACTCTACCTCACATTCTACCAGTTACAATTATTATTATATTGCATTATATATGTTTAACTTGAATATCAAGCACTTAATGTATATGTAGATGTTGCCTGTATGGTAGATGGACTGAGGAATGATGTCCTACCCTTTGTTGAACAGGCCAGGGTTTAGTGATGGCTGCCACGTCACACGCTGTCATCATCATGCTCCTCAGCAGTTTTCTGTTCTCCTTGTTGCTCCAGTCTGCCTCATTTCTGTCCACTATTGAGAAGAATCCACCTCTCCACCTGAACATGACAGAAAAATGACAACATGACATGTTGTTGTGATGATTCACCTTTATTGGTGGGTTTGTTGCAGTAACATACATATAGACTAAGGCACATGGCATTGCTTACTTCATCTTTTTATTATAATTCGGATGTTGTAACCTTGTGTTGTATCTCATCATATAATTATTGAATCTTTATTTGCATGTTCATGCCCATGGGGCTAAATGCATACGTCAGAATGTGATGTTACATGTACATTGTACTGAGTAACATGATACATGTACATAGGATACAAGGATAACAGAACAGAATGACGTAAAAGTCCTTAACAACGGGAAATGATGATATCAGAAAATGGACTGCATGGCACTACACTAAGTAAAATATCAGAGAACAAACTAAACTAGGCCTTAAGGATTTCTTCTCTCTTTTTAAAGCAATTTGAGATAAATTCACAAAGTTTTTCTATTGTATGGTCTTTTATTGTATGGTTTTTCTATAACCATGTTGTGTGATGAGAAGAATTTAAAAAATGGTTGATAAAGGGTGGCCTTTACATACATGTAATAAGCATGACTCGTCATTGGGCTTTCTGGCTTCCTTGGGGTGTTATCAATATTTCATCTCATGTAACATTTCATTATTAGTAATGGTTACATATTCATTATTTTCTAAGTGCAAACAAATGAACAAACAAGCATCTTCAAGTTCACTATACATACCTCCCAAATACATTGTAATATGACAATCAACAGCTATAATAATATGGAGTATGTCCCTCTTAAACTTCAGGTCAATATCAGTAGATGTCAAGATTGCCTCTTCATTTTCCACAAACACAGTACAGCTAACAAAATAATTTCCTTCACAGACTCTGAGGTAAAACAACTCACTTGAAGTAGAGTGCGAGATCTGTAGAGAGAATTGCATGTTCCATGACATCTAGGCACTTTGCATAGTCATCTTTACTCATACTGGATAGCAGCTCAGTACCCTGGGCAAGAGAGCAAAAGTTAGCAACCAAGCACTTCCCTGCAGCTGGAAAGAACAATTCACCCTAGATCAAATTTCATCACCAATGCATGTTTTTTTTAGACTTTCCAAACAATGCTACCAACTTTGGACAACTACATTGCAGACTCCTTTCATACAATGTACATGTATGTCCTTATATTCAATTATACATGCTTATCATGACTACATACATTGTACAATTGCATTTTAGTAGTGTTGCCTTTAAGTTAGTTTTCTTCTCATATTGGTGCCAGGTTCTCAACCCAATGCCATGTTTACATGTACTTTGACATCACTCGGATTATTCATGACGATTGAATTACTTGCTACAGAAATCAAGAATCAGAAAAATGGATGATTTCAATGATTGAAAGATTTGATCTGCCTTAATATCAGAAATGTTGTATTTCAGTCTTAAGGAAACGTAAGTGATGTGACTTTTTCTCAGCCTACCTCACTAGTGAGGATCATGATACACTGGTCAAAGTGGTGCCTCTCCATGGTAGAGGTTCCGTATAGCTGGGCCAGTGGGTGATTGGACCTGATGATACAGGGTGAAAACAATTATAAAGAGAGTTCCATGACCCCATACCCTCACTTAATTCTCCTTGAATACTAGTATGCAGATTCTCCTATAAACAGCCTCCAGTTTAATTCCGGATTTCCAGTTTAATTCCGGACAACCTCCCATATCTCAGCAACCTTAAACCCAGGGGGGCTAATATCGCAAACCATAGGTAAAAATGATGTAAGAAATATGTAGCTGCTATTCACGACCCCCTGGGGGTTTGTCCAATCATGCATAATGATGCATAATGTTTTGAGGGGTTATGCATAATTTATGCATAATGCTCAAGGGTTATGCATAATAGTTCTTTAGTTCTTCAATTGGGACAAACCCCCAGGGGGTCGCGAATAGTTGCTACATATTTCTTACATCATTTTTACCTATGGTTTGCGATATTAGCCCATCTGAGTTTGAGGTTGCTGAGATATGGGAGGTTGTCCGGAATTAAACTGGAAGTTCGAAATTAAACTGGAGGCTGTTTATATAAGATATAAGATTCTCATTTGGTTCAAATTCTGTGGACCCCCGAGTATGATTTCGATCCAAGGCTCGGCATTGATTGCGCTACAGGGACATGGCAGACAACAAGACAAAGTATTGACCACAAACATACATTTAGACAGCAGAAAACACATGCAAAAACAAAATGTCCTGGGGTGGAAGAGAAGCCATAATGGCTTGTTCAACATCTCTCCTATTTCACTTAACTATTAAATTTTAAAAGATGTTCATAAAATTTAAATTAAAACTTAAGATAACATTTGCAAAGCAAATGCATAATGTTTACCTTTGCATATGATCTGCTCTGTTAATTCTTACTCAAACACATTGAATATTTATGGTCAGACAAGAGTCTAAATCCCTCTTGCTATGAAATTGCAACATGATATAACCCAAAACTAGTTACCATGATGACAGAAAGGTCAGGTCATTGACCTTTAAGTTATTGGTTTGGAGAAGAAGAAGAGGAAACAGAGCAAAAACAATATGTTTTCCTTTGGTTAAAATGAATATATAATGCGGTAGGTATTAATAACACTGAAACTCTTATAAAGTCTTACTTCATCTGGAAGGAGTTGTTGGTGCCCCTGTGGTCAAGGTCATGACAAAGACAGGCCAGGAGCAGGGCAAGACCCTCAATGTCATCCAACAAGTCCTCCATAGACCCAGTCTGAGGAACACAATGACAAGAAAGGTTACATCTTAAAGCATAATGTTTTATCACCATCATTGTGGCAAATGCATAATGTTTTCCTTGACATGCTTGTTTATTCTTTACTCAAACACATTTCATATAATAAATGTAGTCAAACCTGCCGAAGGTGAACACCCAGGGAACTGGAGGTGGTCTCCTTGAACAGGGTTGACACACAACATGCATGAGACATTATAAAGTCAGGGTGTTTTTATGACAAATACTTTAAGACTCTTAAAATTCACGGGACCATAGTTAAGATGGGTCAAAGTTTATGGCAGATGAAAAATTTGCAGTCTTTAGAAATTTGCAATTGATCAAATCAAGGAGGTTTGAAATGAAAACAAATTATTTGCTGTTATTGTTACGCATGGTGACATAGAAATGTGTTCAAGACACTGAAGCCCTTTGACAGACAATCAACTGGAGCCCTTTAGTCACTTTCCTAGCCTGTGTTACACAAGCTCTCGGCCGGAGGTTAATGACCCCCACCCCAAGATATGGACTGAGGAATGTGGGGGGCGGCAACTTCGGGGCGGCCGGCCGCCAGGAGCGCGATTAATCAGGCTAGTCACTTTCCTGGCTAGTGAAATTATACTGCACGGTTACTAGTCATTTTGTCAAATTCAATGTTTGAGTTTAGGAAGAAAAAAACATTCAAAATCATTACAATTTTGGTCAGCGAAAAACATCTATTCCCACCAGCTAATCCCCTTTTTTTCAAACAATCATCATATCATATCCAGGCTTTAATTGTATGATATAATTCAATGAGGTATGGTAATAAACCTGAGCCACTTCCTGAATTCCTCCATGTACCCCCACTTACTCCCACCTGGCAAAAGCTGGGTCACCTCTAGGGTTGGCCTTCCTATCATCTGTCAAAATCACCCCCCACCCCCACCCACCTTCCAAAAGACGCTATTAGGACCAACAGAGAAGCAAACTCACAACTAATGGATTAAAACCCACAATAATTGATGTAAAAAAATGAAAAATGGCTGAGGGGAGCTGTACAACATGTGCTTGATTCATGAAATAGGTACCTTTAGGCTGCATTGAATTGCTGAGTCTAGCGGACACAAGACAGATGTTTGATTCCTGGCATTCCCACCTACTACATATAGCAGTAGACATTGCATCCTTAGGAAATGAAGTCTTTACATTTACTTTCCTCACTCCATCCACCTGGTGCAACTTTATAACTTTAAAATAACACTTTTGTTGGGCAGGTAAAAGTTAGTGGAAAAAGAGGGAGATGCGAAGATGCAGTGGATGAATAACCCATTACCCCTAGCTACAGCCTCAAAAAGTTTCTGGGACTTTTACCTCTACCTCTGGGACTTTTACCTCTAACTCAAAAGCGTGTGAACAACTTGCCCTCTCAACCCTCAAAGGATGCCGTGAAGAACTGACCGTTAAATTCTCCAGGTTCTTAGAGCAATCTGAACAGTACAGACATCTCCTACCTCCTTCACGAGAGGAAATAAGTGGCAGGAACATCCCACAAACTGAACAGTATTTACTGTAGAACTGTAAGATATCACGACAGTGCAATACCACACATGGTACGGTTGCTGAACCTGTAAAATAATTTGACCACTTTAATCTGCTTAAGAATGTTTTTATGCTCTGTCAATTTTATCCTGTTCGTAATGTTTTTAAATATGGTTGAGATAATGGTTGAGATATTGTTTTAATGAAACTCATGGAAACAGCTCCCATGCAACTCAGCCTCTGGCTGCCAGGTGGGACTGTCTGTATGTATTTTATATATTATGTGTGTTACTAATTGAATAAACCATTATTACCTTACCTTTAGCATAGTGAACATCATCTGTGCCACATTGAAGGCATGTCTCCAGTTGTGGTACGTCACATTCCTGTAGTTCTTCCGTACACTCAACATCCACCGGCACAGGCTCTGTATGAACAAACAGGAACAAAAGATACAGATACTCATAGGACTAATATTGTGCTTATAGACATATCATGAGCATTTTTTAAGTACTTAAATTAACCAGCACTTGTGACTATCACAGGATGCATAAGTTTGTTTTGATGACTTTTAAACATATTGTGTTCCCTCGTGTTTCTTCATCTTCTTCTTCTCCTCCTCCTTTTCCTGCCATTTTTAAAAGGATTCAACTCTGCCATTTTTTTGGCCAAATATTAAACATGAAATTTGGTGTAAAGGTAGAGTGGGCAAATATCATCAGACTTTTTTCTCATTTTTATGGATACAGGCTTGTTTTATTTGGCTTTTTTGGCCATGCAGTTTCTGACAAAATCTGTACATTTGGTATGGGTATGCTTTATCTACATGTATCTACCAACAACAAGTCATTATATTTATATCTTCTGGCATGCACCCCTTTGAAATTGTATAATTTGGGACTTCTGACTGTTTTCAATGCCAAATAGCGAAGTATACAGTAGTTACTGTATACTGAAGGATGAAAGGATGCTGAGCTTTCGAGATCGTTGGCAGTTGTAATCTTCAGAAATCTTGCTGATTGGGTGTTGGGTTTAATTGGATTAACTCATTGGGCACCTGTCAGGTGAACTGCATTCAATTGTTTTTAGTACGTTTGTCACACTTTCCTGCAATGTGGGGCATAAACTTTTTTTTGAAAACAGTTTGCGTCAGGCAAATATAAATCCTTACCCATAATGTATAGGATTTTAGCTATCCAACTGTTTTATGGCTTCACCACATCATTTGTGTGGGAGGGGATAGGTCCATTTTTGGTACGGCAGATGTGGTGAAGCCATGCTGCATTTGCTCCTGAGCAAATGTCGGCCTTTCTAGTTTCTTATTTTTTTCCAATCTACCAGCACGATTGATCAGACTGATCAAATCAAATTGATGTGTTCTCATTATATTACTCTTATCTCTGTATTTCATCTACTTGTAGAGGTTGAATTGTCTATGAGTTCCTGACCTTATAGTTGATGCTGAACTTCCTTAAATAGTCCATATCCATAAACATCCTGATGGAGGCCTTCAGTGTTTCCTCATCCTCCAACCCAATGTCATCAAAATCCCAGCGTAGAAGGTGGAACCAGTCAGAGGAAGGGATGGGCAGTTTCTGAAATAACATCGTTCTCATTAAACAGTGTCCTGGACCAGTTTAATTCTGGAATTCCAGTTTAATTCCGGACTAATTCCCATATCTCAGCAACCTGACGTCTAGATGGGCTAATATTCTAAGATATAGGTAAAAATGATGTAAGAAATATGTTGTAGCCATCGGTGACCCCTTGGGAATTAACCCAATTCTGCAGAATTCTGGGAACTGGAGCCAGAAATCTGCAGAATTTTCTTACATGATTTTTACCTACATCTTAGAATATTAGCCCATCTAGACGTCAGGTTGCTGAGATATGGGAATTAGTCCGGAATTAAACTGGAATTCCAGAATTAAACTGGTCACTGTTATTACCTCCCTGCAAAAGTGCTTATATAGTGGGAGGGAAATGTTTGGTGTGAAAGAAAGAATAGAAAGAGTGATCACAAGCAAATCTCTTAAATCAGCCAGATTGAAAAAGTGTGTTCGATCTATCTCAAGTGCAACACATACACACACACACACGCACTCACACACATACACACACACACTCACAAACAAACAAACACATACACACACACACACACACACACACACACACACACACACACACACACACACACACACACACACACATATATGTAACCTGGCTGGACTATGTTTGTGGACGTTATCTCTTTGTCTATGCAGTGCCAACACATGCTGGTAGGTGGTGCAACAGTCTGCAACAAAATCCAAGCTACTTACTCTTAACCTATCTGCTTCCTCTTCTGATGCCACTGCATGGTAAGAAAGGCACTGAGTTGGGCAGGAAGAAAATATCATCATCACGTTAGTTGCTGGTACATATGTCAGCAATATGAATAGTATGTATGTTATGTTATGTTGATTTACCTATATGCATGTATGTAGATGTGTGTTGTTTCATTTCAACAGGATTTGCATGTAAATTTGTAATTATCATCATTAACTTCTGCATCATTATAGTTCCCATTTTGTTACTTTATAAGCAAATGATTGGTATAAGTACATTATACTTTTTGTCCTGTATTCATCAAGCATTGTGTATCGTACAGTCATTAACACTTTCACGTCAAAGGGCCAGACATAGGGTCTTGTATTTCATGTACATGTACAGTGCATGATTTTGTCTAAAAGTATCTACATCATACAATCAACATACTTGAGTTGACCGTAAGTATAAAAATATTTCTGCCATCCTGACTGCAAAATCATCTTCATCGAAGAGATGATTTTGTTCTCCAAGCTCTCCATCGAAAAGTATAAACCTAACTGTATAAGTAGTTGAAGCAGCTAACTTTCAACCTTACTATCCAACATCACTATATGCACTATATCCAGCATCACTATGTGAAGCACTATACAGCAGTATATAATGTACACACAATGTATATAATGTTTATGGATTTGTTAGGACTTCAATCATATGTAACTCACTGCATGTAACCATATTTTGTCTGACCCTGACCTCTTCCCTAATGACCAATTTGAGAATTTCATGAATAAGGATCCAACAAACAAACAAACAAACAAACAAACAAACCTCTAAAGCCACTCTCTGTTTGGCCATGGCCTTGACTACCTTTTCGTACATCTGAGTATTGTGGATTCCCATTCCACAGAAGATGGCAAAGGCCTGTAAAAACAAAGAGCTCTCTTCACACATCACACAAGGTTGTTTTTACAGAGAAGTATTATAATATTTTCAAAGCCTAGCAGAGTTCTATAGCTATATATAACTTCGAATTCCAAATTTTAAACAAGAAATACAACAAACGTTTTCCGCTGTTTTCTGACACTTCAATGCTAAGAATATGCTGTAGTATAAAATTTACATATTACATAATGCTGCACAAATAGTGGGTGCACTGGTAAATAATTAGGTGCACATACATGTACAGCTCCAATTTAGGTGCACAAAAGTTCCTTACCTCGAACAGGTTCTCGTCATGCTTGCTAAAGATGGTGTCATCTACCTTGTTCACCAGCTGCATTACTCCTGTAAAAGACTAGATTTAGACTTCTCACCAACATCTTTATCCTGCCCTCTGTGATAAGATACATGTACTACATACTCATATGTCTGTCATTTTTCATTTTCCATAAACAATTCCATCAGGTTGGTGAAATATCTAAATAGAAAAGTTCTTTATTCACAACCACTTGTTTAACAAGACCCGATGTTTCCATGACCAGTTGCCATCTTCATGAGGACAATTATGACTGGTTTACTGTGTACTGAAGCCAGGTGCTAATGACAACACACTACATTTGTAGCTTCAGTGTTCAGGTTTTAACCTTATAATTAATTGCTGCTGTCCGATCCCGTATAGAATACAGAAATTGGCATAAAGATGACTTCACTGTGCTGAAGGTTAAAAATGGTCTGTCCTTGGTGCTGAAGTGATGGTAGTGATGATGCTTAGCCTTCAAATGACTTAAGTGTAGTAAGACTATTAGTAACAACATAATCAATAATAATTGGTGCCACATGACTGCCTTAGCAATAAATCAAGATATTTTCCAAGAGAAAATGTGCTTTTAATGATAAACAATATGTAAGAATTTGTAGAGAATTCCTACTTTTTGGTCATTATTCATGATTTTTCATTTTCATTTTTTCTTTCATTGCACATTTTTCAAATCTATTCGACATACTGCTAATATTATAACAGAATGAAATTTCAACAATGCCAATTAACCAAAGTGACTCTTTTTGTTCTTCCCTAAGGCCACACCAATTTAATTTGTTGGTTCTCGGATTCGCCTCTTCGTTTTTTTCTGATTTGCAAAAAAAAAAAAATTGATTCTGGTCCTGAATCAACTGAAAAATGCTCATGTTTTGCCCCCCAACACAATTGAGGAAAGTCCTTTTCTTCCTAGTTGTTACAGTTTTCCCATCTATCATTGCAATGGTTTGATTAAAAGTTCAAAATTCAATGTTTAAATTTTAACCCAGCCTTTTGTGTTGACTTCATGGCTCATTTTGTAGCATTTAAGCCTATAATAGGATGCCTAGACCTGTTTTTATTTTTATTTTTTTCGCCCTGTCGCTTCATATTTTTTCTGAAAAAATCCGAGAACCAACAAATTAAATTGGTGTGGCCTAAGAAGTACAAATACATGTACCAGGAAAAATTAACTCACCAATTATATTCCTGGTTGAGTTCCTAATTGGCATACACAGTATGCACCTTGTCTTATTATCCCAACCTTCTTCTACCTGCAAGTCAAACAACAAAAGGCAAGAGCAATTCATCAATTTCTGGGTTCTCAGATTCACACACTTCATTTTTGTGTTATCCAGTTTTTTGTTTTGAAAAATACGTGTACCATCGAGGTCTGATTTTGAATCAACTCCAAAATGCTTATATTTTTGCACCAACAGAAGAAACTCCAGGTTGTTATAGTATTATAGTTTTCCATTTATCTGTGCAGTGGTTTGATCACAAGTTCCAAATTCAAAAAAAAGTCCCAAAGTATGGAAATCAGAGGAAGCTTGGACATATATATAGAAGTGTAGAAAATATAAAGATCTTTAAAAAATGCATTATGAGGGAAGCAAAATGATTCTCCGACTCACAGATGGGTCGAACCGTTCGTCCTGATAGGCATCTGGAATGTTTAGAGTCTGGAAAAAAAAAAAAACATTGAACAGATTTTGTGAGTATAAACTAACAACCTTCAACATATGTCAAGAATTTACATACACATATTTTGTGGAAGGATTCTTGATTTTTCTAAAATTTTCTTCACATACAAAAATCTTTCTTTCCATAAGAAAACAAGACAAATAAGCAAAACAATTTTTTTTTCAATTGGTAGTCGTATATGTTGATGGACATCATGAAACCCATATGTTATGTTAGATCACGTTTCAGTCACATGGATACCAAACCAGATCAACAAAGTCACAAACTATCCGTCTCCCCAAACCTAGAACAAATGCTCAGAGAAAACGCTTTTTGTATCGGATGTCACACACCTGGAACACTATGAAATTGTAGAGGCATGGAACAATGTGCAACAACTTTTGGAGAAATGTAAAATAGGTATTTTAGGTATATGGCGGTCATGTAAGCTAGCTTTGTTCTGTCACTTGGTGTTTTTGTGGAGTTTCTGTACATGTTTATGTCTGTATAAGTTGTTTTATGTGTGTCAGGTGTATATGTTAATTGACCACAGGAAGAATAGCTGCAATATGAATTGTCAAGCTAATTGTGGATCTAAATAAACCAAACCAAACCATAATATTTTGTCTGACCCTGACCTCTACCCTCATGACCTCAATGAAAGTGGCCTGCAAGCCAATTCGACTCTTTCATGAATAAACAAACAAGCAAACAACCACATGTCCATGCCCTACCTCTCCTGTCAGTGCCACGTGACTTGTGATCTTGATATTAATGGGGAATCTTGGTGGCTTGTTGGTGGTCCTAAGAGAAACACAAAAAATATCACCTTACTGGGCTCAATATACCACCTGAATATGCAGGTTAGCACAGAGAAAAATTGGGGCTGTACAGGTACATGTGTTTCTGATGTCTACCTGCACCTAACCTGCACCAGTCTATGTACTGGGTTACTATACTCAGTCTGGTGCTAAAGAAATAATAGCTAGTTTCTGAACAGTTTTCAGTATGCTCCATACTTCCTTAATTCTAAGCAGTGCAAGTAAAATTTGTCTGTTGCAGGTAATTTCCAATGTTACATGTATCTGCACCAGTGCAGGTATGCAGAAAAACTTTCTCAACCTCATGTTAATCAATCATTCACAATCATTCACCTTTTACACAACAAAATTTTGTTGGTGACTTATCATAACAATTATCATCATCATCAGATCGGGAGTAATTAATAATTAGTAATTAATAATTAGTAATTAATAATTAACGGTATACTCCTCTTTTATGAAAATTGAAAAGCAATGATCTCAGACCAGTTTAGCTCACTGAAGACGTGACAAAGAAGACAGATTATATATACAGTGTTTACAGGTTCATTCTACAGGAAAAATTCCCCTAAACTCTTTTTTTTAATTATTAGTACACATTCAATAAACAGTGGACCAGATGCATAATAAATGTCAACATGGGAAAGACATGTTCATGAGGTGAGCAAGCATGCAGCTAAACTGTTCGACAGTGAATCTTTTCAGAGAGACAATGCACTAGTACCGCACCAAATAGATACTCAGATAACATTATTATGGTAACTGTTTCTTGAATGTGCATGCATGCCTTCAATGTTATCATGAAAGTTCATCTGTGTTGGTAGTAATCATAGTAAAACGTTAAACTTTATTCCAACACACTATTTACAGGGATCAAATTTTCAGCGACCACTGTCGCCTTCATCAGGATAATTAATGACCAATCACTTCATAACGTGATCTCGCGAGAGTTACGGTTTACAAACACGTGACCTTATTCACACGAGACTTTACCGATACGTGACGTAAGCAATTGATCAAAAGTGCCAGGGAGTTTATAACGTCCACCATCTCTATTAAGTGAAGGCTGAAGTGCTCTGATATATATAGCCTCCTTAATGCCTCTTAGAAAGTAGTCCTGTTCAGTGTCCAGTATTCTAACTTTGTCCAGAGAGACTGTGTGGCCAGGTGATTCGATGTGGATGTGTTGAAAAAACTTCAGATGACAGCGAGCTGGGGCGTTTGTGTTCAAGAAATCTAGTCCTTAGTGAGCGTTCTGTCTCGCCAATGTACGATTCTTCGCAGGTCCCCTGCCTTGTGGTTCCCTGACACGGAATACAGTACACGACGCCACACTTCTCTTCTTTAGGTGTTTTGTCCTTAGGGGCTACGAGAAGCTGTTTCAGTGTGTTGGTGAGTTTGAAGGAGGTGGAGATGCCGTGTGAAGCGAAGATTCTGCGCAGGGGTTCTGAGACGGTCTTGATGTACGGGAGAGTGATGCGGCCTTTGTCCTTCTGTTTTGTTCCCGGGTTTCTGTTGTTCTGTTGGGTGGGTTTCGGTGTAGTCGCCTTGTCTATGGCCCATTTAGGGTACCCACAGTCCTTGAGAGCATGTTGTATATGTTGTTTCTCTGTGTCCCTGTCATGTGGATCTGTGATGATGGAGTCAGCTCTGTGAAACAAGGTCTTGACGACTGCAAGCTTGTGTTCAAGAGGATGGTTGGATTTGAAGTTGAGGTACTGGTCTGTGTGAGTAGGTTTCCGGTAGATAGTCAGGCGCAGTGAACCGTCGTCTTGGATCGTAGTGAGAGTGTCGAGGAAGGGGAGAGTTCTGTCTTGTTCTGCTTCCGATGTGAATTTGATGTCCGGGTCCAAGGAGTTGAGATGGTCTGTGAATTCTTGTGCGTGGGCTTTCTTGAGTTTGGTGTGGGTGTCATCGACGTATCGGAACCACCAGAGGGGCGCAGAACCACCACAGCGTTCATCGATGTCACCTGCGCAGATCGTCAAACTACTGGAGGTCTGTTTACACTGCACCTACTTTCTGTATGACGGCATCTTCTACCAACAGATACACGGGGCAGCGATGGGGTCTCCGGTGTCGCCCATAGTATGCAACTTGTACATGGAACACTTAGAACAGCTCGCTATAACTACAGCTACACACCCGCCCCTCTGGTGGTTCCGATACGTCGATGACACCCACACCAAACTCAAGAAAGCCCACGCACAAGAATTCACAGACCATCTCAACTCCTTGGACCCGGACATCAAATTCACATCGGAAGCAGAACAAGACAGAACTCTCCCCTTCCTCGACACTCTCACTACGATCCAAGACGACGGTTCACTGCGCCTGACTATCTACCGGAAACCTACTCACACAGACCAGTACCTCAACTTCAAATCCAACCATCCTCTTGAACACAAGCTTGCAGTCGTCAAGACCTTGTTTCACAGAGCTGACTCCATCATCACAGATCCACATGACAGGGACACAGAGAAACAACATAATACAACATGCTCTCAAGGACTGTGGGTACCCTAAATGGGCCATAGACAAGGCGACTACACCGAAACCCACCCAACAGAACAACAGAAACCCGGGAACAAAACAGAAGGACAAAGGCCGCATCACTCTCCCGTACATCAAGACCGTCTCAGAACCCCTGCGCAGAATCTTCGCTTCACACGGCATCTCCACCTCCTTCAAACCCACCAACACACTGAAACAGCTTCTCGTAGCCCCTAAGGACAAAACACCTAAAGAAGAGAAGTGTGGCGTCGTGTACTGTATTCCGTGTCAGGGAACCACAAGGCAGGGGACCTGCGAAGAATCGTACATTGGCGAGACAGAACGCTCACTAAGGACCAGATTTCTTGAACACAAACGCCCCAGCTCGCTGTCATCTGAAGTTTTTTCAACACATCCACATCGAATCACCTGGCCACACAGTCTCTCTGGACAAAGTTAGAATACTGGACACTGAACAGGACTACTTTCTAAGAGGCATTAAGGAGGCTATATATATCAGAGCACTTCAGCCTTCACTTAATAGAGATGGTGGACGTTATAAACTCCCTGGCACTTTTGATCAATTGCTTACGTCACGTATCGGTAAAGTCTCGTGTGAATAAGGTCACGTGTTTGTAAACCGTAACTCTCGCGAGATCACGTTATGAAGTGATTGGTCATTAATAGAGCTGTGTACCTAAACAAATTTTAGGTACAGGTACAGGTACAGGTACACAGGTTTAGGTACAGGTCCGGACCTGAACCTGTACCTGAACAATTCGACCAATTTATATGCTCTTCTGAACTCCTTCAATAACACAAAAACATAAATAAACTTGATAGTTAAGGTTTATTCTTTGTTTATGGCGAATGCTCAGATAAAATGTAGGCAAAACTAAGTGTTTTTGTTTTCATGAACACACTGTCCTTACACAGGGACCCATTGTTAACCAGCTATTTACACATTTGAGGTCACAAATAGGCATAAAATTGGTGTGAAATTGTTTAGGTACAGTACCGGTACTGAGGGATTAGGTATTTTGGACCTGTACCTAATCAATTTTTCCGGTACAGTATCGGTACTGCGTACCGGTACACAGCTCTAGTCATTAATTATCCTGATGAAGGCGACAGTGGTCGCTGAAAATTTGATCCCTGTAAATAGTGTGTTGGAATAAAGTTTAACGTTTTACTATGCCTTCAATGTGTTTTATCACCCTTTAATTTGTATAGGGATTTCAGTGAGGGTCCATAGTTACCGTTATTTATTTTTTAAATTAGTCTTTGTATTTGTTTTTATCATCCTTCACCCCCCTGGGGTTCAGGCCAAGTCCCTGCACCCTTGAGCTCTACTTTCGTCAATGGCCAAGGCTGTTTTTTAATATATCAACATGTATCATACATCAGGGCTCAAAATACTTTTTTCAGCCAGGTGGCGCATGTTGCCACCTGAGTCAAAAGCCAGGTGGCGCCATCAGTATTCAAGTGGCAACACTTCCAAGTTATCATTTTCTTCAAATCTGCTCCTTATATCTATTACGTTTTCTTCTAGTTAACTACTTAAGTTTTATGTTATAAAATAAAGTAATGTAAAGAACACAAAAGCTCTCAAACAACAATGTTTTAATAAAGAATGCCACCTTTACATCACTTCATCACAGGGCTGCCGCCGTGGGAATGCCACGCCTCTTCATGGCGGCACACTTATGCAGGTGGTGTTACGTGCGCCATGTTCTTCGTTTGCGCAAGGATAATGTTACTCTCATCTGCCAAATAAACATACCCCCCGGAATAAACATACCCCCCGGCGCCAAGCAAAATCAGGTGGCGCCGCGCCAGTGCGCCACCGGGTATTTCGAGCCCTGTACATGTAACGTAACTAGTGCTGCATACCTAAACCCACATTTAGGTTCAGGTCCGGATTCAAGTCCAGAGGTTTAGGTTCAGTTCCGGACTTGTAAGTCCGGACCTAAACCCATGGCATATACAAAATTGCATGTTGGCAATCTTGCAATGCTGTCTGGGTGAAACTTTGGCCACATAACATGGAGGCCGGTACTTGACGATGCCCAATGGCAGGGGTATGTGAAATTGTCTTTTATGGTAACAAGTCTGGACTCGGTTCTTGAGTTTTAGTTTTTTTTGGGGGGGACTTGAACCTAAACATTCTTACTAGTCCGGATCCAAGTCCAGTGAACCGGTATGCAGCACTAAACATAACATCACTGAAGTGGTGAATTGCTCATTGTTTGACAAGGACTGGAGTTCAACAGTGGAAAATCTTGTCAAGTCCAAATTTTTGGTGTTGGAAATCCTGGTTGAAACCATTTTAGATACTCACGACAAGTCCCTGTTGTGTCGCTCCTCTTGGCTCATGTTGTCATCTTCAAAGTCACTCGCTGCACACTCAAACACCTGAGAAAACATGCCCTGTAGGGAAAACCATAAACCAGTTACACAGAACAAGGGAACACTTCTCATACACAATTCATTCATCTAGTATATGTTATGCAACTGGAACTTTTGCCAAGAGTAAAACAAGCAGCACAAGAGGGCCTTAGTCACTGATCAGTGCTTCAGTGTAGCAAACTGGCACTGGTACAAGTGTAGCAAGTTACATAGCTGAGTCAACTTTAAAGTGAATGAAATCTATATATATATCAGTTTCCTTTAAACTTTACTGCAAACTCTAATCCTGAGGACTAATTGCAAGGAAACACACAGTTATTAAGTAACATAAAAGGTAAAAGTGTCTAGCTATAGTCATAGAACTTAATGTGTTATATGTTCAATCTACACTATCATACATGTACATGAGGGTTTGACTAACTTCTCTGAAGGCAGTGGCTTATGAGAATAATAAATATAATATATATTTAACATAATTTTTCATTTGCAGTAGAGAGGCAAAGTAAAAAGTATAAAAGGAGGAGTAGTCCGATCTCTGTCATTCTTGAGAGAAAGACTGAATAAAGTCGAAACTGGTCATTCTGTCTCATCGTTGTCATTTTCCCTTCGCTACGAATAACATAATAATCTTTTATATTATATGTAGTCCCATGTTTTTAACAAGTTTTTGTGGTCTTAGCAGAAATATAATAGTCTTGTAGACAGGGAAACTTGGAGAAATTGTGGTCAAAAAGCCAGAACCAAAAGCCAGTTACACAACAGAGCGCTTTTCATGCAGCATTCATTTTTTTTGAAGCTGGGACTTTTGGCAATGTTTAAACAAGCAGAACAAGTGGGCCTTAGTCATAAATATTGATCAGTGCTTCAGTGTAGCAAACTGACGCACGTGTAAACAATTTTCTTGTTCGGAAATAAGCGCTAAAACGCTATTTTTCCACGACTACACATCGATACTCTAGTGAAGAAATGCATAAATATATATTACTAAGAATATTTATGCCGTCTTCGGCGAGATTTTGAACCCGGAAGTATGCAAAGGTCGCCTTCGGTTTTGTAGCGGCCCACGGTAGCGTTTCTATCCAGCAAAACAAGAAAAAAAAAACGACCCGCAAAGCAGGGCGGAAAACAGAACCAACTAACATTTCCCAGGTACCAGCAGTTATATTTTTCATCAAAATATTTGTAGATATACCCGATGTGCCCGCAATTTTCAAGCGCCCGGGCGCGCATGGCCGGCGCTCTGCACACAGAGATTTTTGTCCGGCGGTGCACGTTTGACACGGCCAGTGCCGCAGTATCGCGATTCGGTGTCTCATAATATTATAATTTTTTGACATCAGTATAACTTAAAAAAATTTTGGTACTCAACATACGTACATTTGCTAAGAATAAAGTTGATTTGCAGTGATTTGTGTTTGTTGCGTGTGTTTGTGTTTCGCTTACCGTCATGAATGCATGTGGGGAGGGGGGCGCACTTACGCAAAACATATTCGCGGGGAAGTAGATTCGCGGTACAGAGGTCCCCGCGAATTCCGCGAATCTAAATACACCGCGGAAATTTGTAGACTTACAGTATATCCTGCCTCCACCTAACCTGGGTGCCATCCGATTTGTAACAGGGTTCCTCACACTCACTTTTTCAGGCCAGTAAAAGCAAGCCTCGTTACAGATAGGATGGCACCCATGGGTGCATGCAGGCTAGTTGGCATGTGAGCCATCTCCTTACAGGTAGCTTGCCATCATGTTGCAATATCTTTTATGTTGCAATTTTCTTTGCATAGTTTGTTTTACATGTACCTCAATGTACAATCATGTACACATGTGTACTTACAAGACATTTTTAGAAATCATGATTTGTGTAATTTTACTTATATAATTATATAACTTATAAATTCAATTGAATTCTTTGTGTCAAGTTACTGGTAGAATAGCTAATAAATCAATTTTATTTTTAAATAAAATTGATTTATTAGCTTAAAAAGCACTGTAACTTGAGTAACCTGAGAAAAATATTATTTCAAACCCTGATCCCTATTACTTTGTAATTAATTTTCATACATATTATACTGTTTTATGGTCAGAGAGAAGCTAAATTTGTACACCTGCATTTTCTTTCTTCCTGCATTCTTAACTCACATGTTTTGCAGCCCTAACAGACCCACAGCTGTCATACATAGGGCATATTCATGTGACGTCATCACCCTTGCCCCCCCCCCCCGCCACCATGTTAAGGTATCACCCCAAGTCAGCACTGTTTTGCTAACAGTCCATTGATTTTGTCTTTTTACGTGTATTTGGTAATGAAAACAACTCTTGCACACAGATTAGTTCAAGGATTACAATGTCTCGAACCTAAAACGAGTAGTTTCCAGACAAGTAGGCAGTTTTTTGTTGACAAGTACAAAATTAATGTACAATGTGATCGGGAAAGTTCTGTGTGGAGCGGTGACCATGTCAATTTGAGTGCCGTGCTTGTACAGCTGGTTGAGGTTTCTGTTGGACACAGATAGCCAGTATTGTTTCATAGAAATCCATCACAGAACTCACATTAAACGTGCCCAACAAATAGTTTTCATGGTTGATCTGTAAGTTTGTTTAACTTCTTTTCGTGAGAGCTCGCTAGTTCCTTCGTGTACTGGCTCATTATGTACAAGATGTGCTTACTACTAGTAAATCATAAAACTATCCAATCTATTTGCGCTTTACCAGTCCCAGACCAACATCCAGCCACGAGGCAAAACACATTGATTATGAGGCAAAACATTTTGAAGGAAAATAGTGGGTTGCTTAGAAAATATTTGCCAATTTTATGGAGAGCTGCATAGGGATCCACTTATGGAACTGACTGCTAGTATAGGGGACCTCAACATGTCGGCAGCCTGCTCGTTGCTAGGGCGACTAGCCAGTGACTGAATACACCCTACAGTAATCAGCTTTACAGTCAAACCTGCCCAAGACATCCACTTAGGAGCACGTCGGCAGAACGTAATGCACCTGCGCGAAATCCGTAAGTAAATGTATTACACATAGCACTTCGGCAGAACGTCTCATATAAGATTGTATTTGTGCATATAAGGTTAACACTCCATCTGTAGTTTCCAAATGAAAACTAAGATATCCTCTGCAACAGGTAAAATTCTGATGCAACGTTGACCAAAAATCCAACGAAAACCGCGCAGTACGTTCTGCCGACGTGCTCCACTTAGGGGACTGGGTAAAACATGATATAAATTCAAATGTATTCAATAGGCATTCACTAATTAAAAGACAGTTCCAGTCACTAAAGACAGTTCTTACTGCTTGTGTGCAGTGACATGTTGAAAAGAGAAGCTGACAATACAGACAGACAGCATGCAGTAGTTATAAGACCAAATGAATCATTCCACAGCATGTTTCTATATGAAACTATAAATATTTGAAAACATATAAAGAAAGGTATGCAACTGAAGAAAGTACTGAGAACATAAGTAGACAGTTTGGGCCAAACAGTAACAGATTACTTAGTTTAACATGGATGCAACTGAGTACCAGTTGGGCATTGTAAGTAAGGAGAAAAATTAGCATTTTTAAAATCTAAGTCTGGTAAAGCATTAAAAAAAAAGGTTTTGAAAGTTTCTTCCTGAGAAGAAATGCTATCAGTCACATGGATCAAACTGTCAGTAGATAAGTTCTTGGAATGTTGTAATGAAAACATTTTCTGATGATGCTGGTTTGCCCATTTAGCTGAAATAAAATTGCACCAACTCAGAAGTACCAGGATGCGGATTCTTGCAATGGCACATGACATCTTAAAGTCTTTCAGTCTTGACTTCATCCAATGAGTCAGCACTGAATGGCTGACAACATCACGTGTTCATGCAATTCCCCGGAACTGTGCCAGGTGGCGCTGTACCCCCACAAAGCCAGACAAAAGAAATCAAGAGTTTATTTTCAGGAACTGGTTTGTTGTTTGTTTCTTTGTTAACACTTACAACGCTAACATTTGTTGGAGGATTGACATGTCATACATTTTTGTTTCTGTAACAGGTGACTGTCACTTTTTCAATATGTCAACCCAGAGACCAGACTGTGAAGGAAATATGTATGTTGCCTTACTCTTTACGATAAGTGGCTTCTTTAAATTGTGCTTGAGGTTTTGAAGATTATCAGCAGTTGACAGTTAAACCAGTAATGTATTTTGTCTGGCCCGACCAGAAACTTGCCTGACCAGACCTGGATGACCTGGGTGACCTCCTCCTGGGCGCAGGACCCACAAAGAGAGAGCTGACCGGGAACTGGCCATGTTACAGACAGTAGTCACAGGACAGAGAAAAGTCTCATCAACGTAAGCACACAAATCAGGAAAAACACTAGTCTACAAACGGAGTAATCACAAGAAAATCAGAGGAGAACATGAAAGATGGAATGATACATGTTGGTACAGAACAACACCAAGATTTAAAGGGGTACAGTAGACTCTGAGATATCCAAAACACTTTGAAATTCTTTGATAGACCATCAAGTACATGTATACCAAAAAATTGTCTGGCCCTTCAGTACCCATCATATCAACAGTGTCACACATGTACAGTTGTACAAGCACTACAGTACAGAAGAAGTCTTGTCCACTGGTAGTGGAGTGTGTTCAACTTCAAAGTCTTTCCCATAACAGTGCTCTAGGAAAAGCTGCATGCCATTTATCTTTGGCATGACTTGGTCTAGCCTGGATGCCAGCTTTTTTAAGATTAATATTAGCTTCTTCAGTCACTCCTCTGCCAAACAAACTGAGTCTGGACATACATTGTATCTTTCTGGCAGGGAAGCAGCCTTGATACCACACCCATAGCATGCTACAAATGTACATGTAGGCCCTGTGTGAGCCAGTGTCTCAGGGTCTAACTCATGGGGGCTGTTGTTACAATTTCCTTGGGGGCAATTGACTGATTGTAGAGTCAGAAAGCTGCCTGGTGTAGACCCTGGAAATGGTCTGGCATCCAGACTCAGAAGCAACTAAAAGCTAAAAGCCATATCCAGGCTAGACCTAACCCAGAGCTAACTGCATGCAAGAAGATGTGTTCCCTACCTTGGAGGTGTCGTCCAAGAGCAGAACCTGGCACCTCTGACACTGCAGCAGAGACTGGGTGTGCATCAGGACCTTGTTAATGATGACAGGCAGGGAGCTCTGCTCTGCCAGAATCAGCCTCGACAACTCCAGGAGAACCTGTAACCCAGGGAAAACACCAGGAAATAACATCAGACAGCCAGGTAGAAAAAAAAATCAAGCACCTGGATATAAAGTCTCTGAAGAGTCAAACTTAAAACACTGTGAAAACTTCCTTTCCAGTGCTATCATGGCATTAAATCCATGCAAAAATAACATGAATCTACACTACTTTATTTCTAGTTGGTGAACGAAAAATAAATCAGGCAACAATATGGGGTCATGCTATCTGAAACTCCTGACATTGTAGAAAATGTATGCACCTAGAAATAAAGTGTGTGGATTTGATTTCATGGTAACACTGAATGGGAGGTTTTAAGTTTCAAACATACTGTAGCCCCAAAAGGGACACAATGAAGACTAAGAAAATAAATTACAAATATTTGAAAACATACAGTAACTGCAGCATCATATAAGTAACAGGGACAGGGCATAGTTTGCAGTGCTGGACCCACGTTGAGCAAATTCAACAATATACTTCGTGATACATACAATTAATAAATGTGATCATCCTGTAATAAAGGAGCCGTCTAAAATTGGCAGTCTAAAGATTCTTCAATCTTTTCACAATATATTAATGATAACACTCCTTTATAGGACCAATTTCGTAATATTGCAGCAGCAATGCCTAGCTGCAGTACAGATCTGCACCAGTCATTGCTGCCCTGAAAAGGTGACAGACGCTCACAATCGCTGGATGTAAAAACCCACTGGTTGTGTGTAATGCTTCAGTCTATACAGTCATGTAAGTATAGAAAAGTTTAAAATTTAAGTCATAAGTTTTTCTGATTTTAGATTTTTCTACATTAGATTTAGGATTTCTAGCTATCTTCTGCACAAGTTTTGTAATTTCAAATTTTAGATTTCCTGAAGTTTTAGAACTTGACCCACCTTTGATTTGATTTGATTTATTAGACTCTATAAGACATAGTATTATTGTATACATGTATTATACAGCCAGGACTGCCCAACTAGCACGAGGCTATTATAAAGGGCTAGGCCCTCACAACAAGAACATAAACAATTCGGAACAGGTAACAGTTAACAGTGTCGGTTACACTTCAGATAAACCTTTCAGATATTACCTTCTTCTGTTATATAACAAAACATCAAAAACATAATCAGACAGGTTATACAACAGGTCCCATTTTCATGCATAACAAAGTGCCGTAAGCCGTCTGCGATCCCGTAATGCAGCAATGAGATTGACTCCCGCATCCGGAATTCCAGCTGCTAATTCCCAGCACGAATCCACTCAGGTGCGACCTTGTGCAGTCACTCCAAACCTCAAGGTCAATGCTGACATGTGTCTGGTGGGCATGGCTGGCAGGTGATACATTATTCACCAGTCCTGCACCATACATTGTATACTGCTATACACATTATTTGTAGCCTGCCAGTACAAACGTATCATACAGGGTTCCACAGTCATTTTCTGGAACAGGTAGAATTTGTATATTAAAATTTTAGGTGCAGCATACAGTCTATAAGTGAGATAACATAACTTAACTAGACTTCCACAATATCATACCTTCGCCAAATGATATTATCCGTTATGACTCAGAAATTATCTTAGATATCAATCCTCGTGATTATGCAAATAGGATCCTAAATTGCATGAATTATATCTGTTGATCATATTCTACACCAAAGGACAGTCTTATCTTAATGAAGAATGCCAAGTTCTGCTGCAGTACCTTGACAAGCTGCCAGATGGCTCAAAATCTAATCATTTTGAGGTCTCATCAAGACCTACCCACCTACCAAATATCAAGACAATCCGTCAAGTCCATCTCAAGTTATCGTGTTTACAAACACACACACAAACACACGCAGACACAGACACACGAACGCCCCTGAAAACATAACCTTCTAGATCTTGGCAAAGGTAAAGATAAAAGCATGTCAGCAAAACCTGACAGAAGTCCTGTTTAAAAAAATTTGGGATAAACCCAAATGCTACATGTTTACCTAAATTCTACATTTCATCGGTAAACTCCAGCTAATCATCATTATCAGCATCATTTGCAGCACATTTTGACCACAATGTCATATTTAAAGTAACTAAAAGATATCATTCTGTAACAATCCCGATGAGACACTTTTCCATGAGTAATATAACAATTAGAAGTGAAGTGAAGAACTTTCAGTACTTAAGTTTTGACTGTCCATCAAACATGTACTCATACTCATAGCCCAGCTTGAAAAAGCTTTTTGAAAGGCCATAAATTATAAAGCAATTTTTGTCTTTCATCATAAGCTTGTAGTTTGAACAGTTTACCAGTAGGTGAAACTATTAAATATCCATTAGCCAGACAGCTTGGAGACTATCTCTATGTGTTGAATTTTAAGTAGCTGTGACTGCTGTTATGATAGACTAAGGCCACACAAATTTAATTTCTTGGTTAACGGACTTTTCTAGAAATATAAAGGAGCGAGCGGGCGAAAAAAAATAAAAATAAAAACAGGACTAGGCATCATGAAGTCAACACACCAGGCTGGTTCAAAATGAACAATGAATTTTGAACTTTTAATGAGACCATTGCATTGAAAGATGGAATAACTGTAACAACTAGGAAGAAAAGGACTGTTTTCAACTATTCAGGGCAAAATATGAGCATTTTGCAGTTGATTCTGAATTTTTATTTTTATTTGCAAATCAGAAAAAAATGAAGCGAGAGAATCCGTTAACCAAGAAATCAAATTGGTGTGGCCTAAGTACACGTATCATTAGACATTATATGACGTGTATAGAGACTGAGGGGTCCTTGATTATCTGATGCTTCTTAGTGTACATGTATATAACCTTAAAGAACACAGCAAATCGTTTCCATGTTTAAAGCAGGAGAATGATCGATATATATATCTGTAATCAATGGATTCTATAATGATAGCAGAGAGGATAAAAATAGTATCCACTCTATCCACTTGTATGAAACCACTTCCCATACTTCACATTAACAATTATTACCTCCATGAAAAATGGAGGTATTGTTTTTGGCGTGTCTGTCTGTCTGTGTTTCCGCACATTTGTAGTCAGCATAACTTCAGAACGCCTTTATGGATTGTGATGATATTTAGTATGTTGGTAGGTCGTATGTTAATATAGAGGTCATTTGCATAATTAAGTAGGACATGTTGACTTGAAATATTGCCAAAAGATAGAAATTTCACAAGCAAAATATTGCAATTTGAGTTAACAATTACATTATTTATAACCAATAATTTAACTAGATTATGGTAATCATGACCTTATTTCCATAATGAATAAGCCAAACCCCAAAAAAACATTTACATAAACTCAACATACATGTATTTCATGGAGGTATTAAATCTCTGAATTCTTGTTGTGACATGCATTTTATCCTTCTACTTGTAACACTTAAGTTAATGCATTAATTTTGACATTACAAATGACACTGTGCAACTCAGTCAGAACCCCTGTAAGTATGACAAGGGCCTCTGCAAAGCTGAACTATTTTAAAAGCTCAATTTCCCATTTTTACTAATCTGGGATAATACAAGACTAAGACAATTCCTTTTAAAGGTTTGCCAAGTTTAAAAAGAGGTCCCCAAACAAAGTAGCACAACACGAGAATGTACAATGTACATGCTTATACGTGCACGTACCGGTATAGCTGCAACCAACATGTACATATATTTGCATCAGTTCTACTTAATCTCCACATTATTGTACATGTAATGGTGCCAGAAATTCATCTTTAAAAAGTCTCTGCAACCTACATGTACTAACAAAAAATCCCTCATCAACTCAGTTAGACAGTAGTGTAAATATTTGAGTAGAGGCAATAAAATGTAAGCTTGCAGTACATGGCTTTACCTGCCACCTGTACTAAATACATGCTCTCTTTTCTATGACAGGTAGTAAAATGGTTTTATGATTGTGTGGAGATCAAGTCACACACGTACATGGGCTCTAATGGAAAAGTTCCAATAAAAGACTACAAGAGGAAGGGTAATTTTGCATTCTTTTGTTGTATCGCAGTAAATGACTGTAAATGACTGTATGAGGCTTTTAGTTGTGTGAGGTACATGTACAATGTAGAGTGTTGGCTAATGGAATCTATCCAAGACGTTTCTAACTTATAATCAGTCTTCAATTATCTCTCTTATTCCCAATTCTATTTCAATTTTTCCATTTTTTTCTTTTTTTTCAGGTATTCTTTCATAGAAGGAAAAAAGAGTCTCAGAATACATACTCCCATCCTCAGAGAAATCTAAATAAGAATAGCCCTAAACAATGTCATAACAGTATTATCCTGCACTGCTATGTAGAGGAGTGATTTGTTTGTTCAACTTTGTTTTGCGTAACCAGAAAACTGCCTTTATAGGCATTACACAGCAGTTTTGTAAAATGTAAGTACAAGCTGCGTAAGACTGGACTCTTAAGGTTTGAACCACCCACACCGGGAAGGTACCCTTCTCTTTTTTAAAAGTGTGGTGGGTTCTTAAACGTGCGTGGGGTGTGGCTCTCTCCAACACAGGACCTCTATTTAACGTCCTATCCGAGGGACGTCCCTAACCAAAGCTAGGTACTCAATTACACCTGAGTGAATTGAGCAGAGTCATGTTAAGTGCCTTTCCCAAGGGCACGAGATCGTTGACATCGGGCAGGATTTGAACCCGGGGACTTCTTGGGTCTGAGCCAAACACTAGACCATTCTGCCATGTTGGTGGAACTGTCCTTGGTACTGAATCTACCAGCACAGCATGTGGAAACTTCTCAAACATGCTCGTTGTCACAATTTTGGACGTCATTCAAGTCATGATTTTGTATGCAGGATGAGATTCAGTTGTTTACCATCTCTTGCTCTTCATCTTTTGTGGAAAAGTACTATTAATTTTGCAATAACCTATAGTACATATAGCCCAGTGTTCTTCCCTATAAATGTTTGATCTGTTCATGATCAGTTAATCTATCCTAGACATACCAAAAGTCTCCCAATATCTATGGTGGTTTCATTACTTCAGTCTATACCTTAAATGTGGATTGAAATATTGCTTTTACTCATGTTTCCTCTTCTTATGCCATTTCTTTAAAATCGATTAAACTTCTTCAATTTTGGGCCAAATGAAATTTGGTATGGAGGTAGTGTTGGTAAATACCCCTGGACATGGGGCCAATGGAAAAGTCCATTCTTAACCAAGGGGAACAATCTATTTGGAATTGTCAAATTGGGAAGGTTTTAAACTTTAAACAAATAACTCTTTGGACAAACATTATTTTGGAATGTTCTACTTTTACTATTTTGTACAGATCCACTTTATGGGGAAGGAAAGGAAAGGTCTCCCGTGCCCTTATGCCCTTATGCTGAGCGTAGGGTGGTGCCCATATCCATTTCTGTAGCCCTTGGGTGACACACAGTTGTGCAAGGCACTACATCGATGCAGGGGGCTAGTCCTCTGGTAGTGTTGTGTGTTTGACCTTCCCACACTCTTTCTCATATGTGCTGAGTGCTAAGCAGAGAAAGAAGTGTGTACCAGTTTTAAAGTCTTTGGTAGGACCCGGCCAGGGTTTGAACTCACGACCTCCCGGTTACAAAGCAAGCACTCCAGGGCTCGAAATACTTTTTTCAGCCAGGTGGCGCATGTTGCCACCTGAGTCAAAAGCCAGGTGGCGCCATCAGTATTCAAGTGGCAACACTTCCAAGTTATCATTTTCTTCAAATCTGCTACTTATATCTATTACGTTTTCTTCTAGTTAACTACTTAAGTTTTATGTTATAAAATAAAGTAATGTAAAGAAGACAAAAGCTCTCAAACAACAATGTTTTAATAAAGAATGCCACCTTTACATGTCTTCATCACAGGGCTGCCGCCGTGGGAATGCCACGCCTCTACATGGCGGCACACTTATGCGGGTGGTGTTATGTGCGCCATGTTCTTTGTTTGCGCAAGGATAATGTTACTCTCATCTGCCAAATAAACATCCCCCCCCCCGGAATAAACATACCCCCCTGGACAAATATTCATAATCTAATAAAAAATGGTATTAGCTCCCTTGATTTAAAAAAAAATTGGGCATACAGTCAAACCTGTACTAGCGGTCACCTTTGTATAGTGGTCACTCGGCCATAGCGGTCAGTTTTT